GTACTCCACCATTTTTAAAAGGCCCAGAAGCACAAAGGCAATATACAGCTTGGTTTAGTAGTCACAGCTATCTTCACTGTACAATAAACGGCAGTGAGATTTCGCGGGTCCATATGCATAGCACTCCATTGTCATGTGAACATCTTACTTACGCAGCTGACCACTGCAAAACATCATGAGGTTGAGTCCTAACAGCAGCTTTGGTGAATTCCTTCAGAATATTAGGTAGCTCAGGGGGGATTCTGATCTGCTCAGCACAAAACATGGTTTCTGGAAGAGGCATGGTCCTTTGTGTTCAGTCATACAGACCTGAAAGGAGTAATGAAACAGCAGTTCACAGACGCACAATGCGAAAAAAAACCTGCATGCGCACATGGGGCTCACCTCGTACCCAAACTCTCTCCTGTCCTACTCAACAGCTGGGGCTACTAGAGAACTGACAGACTCAGAAGGGTGAGCAGACGGGCACTGTGCATCTCCAAACAACCTTGGTGTCAACACCAAGTAGAAGACTGGAGCTGGGACACCAGCCACAGCTCCAGGTAAGGCTTTAATATGTGTCTTTAGATAGTTTTAATCTAATCTTTCTCCTCAAGCCTACCACGATATAAACGTGTAAAGCTGGTAGTCCAGACAAGTCACAGCACTCACGCCCGTGTGAAAGCTAGCTGTGGTGACAACTCACTACTGCACGCCAAGGAGAGTCTTACCATTTTCGTACAGGAGCTAGAGTATGTGGATTACCAAGTTTATATTATGTTTACGTATTAAAACAAACCAAACAAAAAAAAAAAAAGATGTAGCAAAAAGTGAGTAATCTGTGCTCCTGGCAGACTTTACATGAAAACCTTACAGCTGGATGAACGAAAAGCATGCTGCAATTACACACTGCGCTTTGCTCATACAGGTAGGTTTGTCCCATTCAACTCTTGCTGAACACAGAGGTCACCTCATCTCCGCCACCCCTCCTTGCTCTTACCTCCTACTTTTCTCTCACTCACCCCAAACCAGCCGCAGGTACCTGGCACAAAGCTGAACCCAACAGCTGAGGGCGCGCAGGTCAGGCTGGCTCAGCCGTGACACCGGTTACCCGGTTTGCCAGCAAGCGGGCCCGCGGGCTGAGGGCCGGCCAATCCCTTTTCTCTGTCAGGGCCCGCCGGCAGACCCGAGACAACAGGCCCCAACCGCTCCGTCCGCAACAGCCGCTTCTCCTGCCCCTGGCAGCGGCCCCGGCTGCCGGGCAACGCGGAGGGAGGAGCCGGGCGCGGGCCCAGGGGCGTAACGGGGCAGGGGGGGCCGGGCGCGGGCGTTGTTTGAAGGCGGGAGCGGCGCCCGCCCTCCTCAGCCGTTTGGGAAGAGCCAAAAGCCCGCGGCAGCAGGTAAGCGTAGAAATGCACCACCGAGCACGCTGTGCAAAATAACCAGTGTCCCGTCTCTAAACAGGCTTGGAGTGGGGTTCGGGAGTTCTCTTTCAAACAGGCAACACGTCCAGGCTTGAAGGAGATGTGAACAAACGCTGACTGAGCTGCAAAACAGACATAGCCAATGTATTCCCTAAAATTCCCGTTATAGCAGCTGCTGCTCCAAAGTCCTGGCGGTTCAGGACTGCAATACTGCGGATGGACTGTCCCACCAAGCACAGCACGGGCGGTAGCAGCTGCTGCTCAGCCCTGCTGCTCCAGACCTGGCACCATGGGTGCGGACAGGGCAGCGAGGGCTCTCCTGCTGCTCCAGCACCGCAGTGCTCTCTGGTTTTGTTAAGCAACAATCAAGTCTTTTCTTGCCAGGTAAAAGTAGCGCCATTTTCCAGGACCAGAGGTGCTCCTCAAAGCCAAGTGGTTTAACATAAATCAGAAAGGAAGGGTAAGTAATCCACCTTATACAGGGGCAAAAAAACCCTGAAAAGTGGCTATGCAGCTCTGGCACTGGCCACTACTCAACAAGCAAGAGGTAACAGCAAGTTAAGTGTGTAAACTGCAAAACTGATGTGCATGCAATGTTACGAAATTATGTTGGTACCGATCCATGCCTCAGTGTTACACTGAATTCCAAACATTCCATTTAGTTTGGAACAGAATTTGACCTTTGGAAATGCCATCTTCTAGAAATGTCTATTATTGAGTAACTTTGATTTCAGCCTATAATTTCTCAATTTATGGAGACTTCCAAACTAAGAAGAAGCAGAGCTTGTCTAGAATAATCAGACTTAATAAAATCCCTATTAACCATGCAATTCTTTAGTTCCAGTCAATACATGCAAGAACTGAAACATCCGAGTAAGAGAACCTTTAACTTACCATTATACTTTGTAAAAGCTGTTCCCTTACCCGTTTCAGAAGAGGGCTTCCTTTTTTTGTTCTGAATTTCATACTACTGAGATTCAATTCTCTGCTTGATGTTTTTACTACAGTAACACTGTTTTTACCAAGAACCCCACTCATTGCTCAGGCTGTATGCTGCCCTTTCACGGGTGAGCAGAACAAGAACACTGACCCTGCTATGGAGAATTTCCAGTCTAAACGAGGAGACAGACAGTGCAGTATGCAGAAATGAAATGGCACTGATCAGTATGTCAGGCAGTGGAGTCAACACACCAGGCAGAGGGCTTCTTATGGAGTTTTCTGAACAACCACAGGGCTGCTGTGCAGAGTTTTATGAAGACCTTTGCTTGAGCTTAGGAGAAAGCAAGGAATTAATGCACCCAGCTGAAAAGTAATGCGAGTACTGTAACTGGTGTTGGAGCTGGCATCACTGAAAATTTAATGGGAGATTAAGGTTAGATGTAAGGATGAAACTTTTTACTGTGAGAGTAAAGGAAGTTGTGAATGTTCCATCCCTGGCAGTGTTCAAGGCTGGGTTGGAAAGGGCCTCGAGTAAGCTGGTCTCATGGGAGGCGTCCCTGCCCATAGCAAGGGGGTTTGAACTAGATGATCTTAAGGGCCTTTCCAACACAAACCATTCTGTGATTGTATCTTACTGAGGTAAGGGCTGACAGAAAATAGTTACAGGTCTCAGAGGGCCCTTGGAAACTGAACAAATAACGTACGCTTTACCCAGCAGAGAAGAGGGAATCAGAGAAAAGATGCAGAGTTTTTACTATTTTTAATCAATCTAAAATAATCTGTGTAAAACCAAAGCTGTGCCACAATTAACTTCAGTAACCAAAAGATGGCTGTAGAGCCATCTGACAGTTCTTTGATGAAGGCCTGTAGAACTGCTAACAGCCATAGATTCTCAACACCGCAGAAGGGATACACAAACTAGGCCAGGTTGCTTCTCCAACCCCTCAAAGATTCAGTGTCAAGTTGTGGTAAAACCACATGCACACACAGAGAATTTTTCCAGCTTTAAGAGTAATACAACCCCTGCATGCTGTATTACTCTAGCAGAGATGGAAGCTTCTGGTATAGAGCTGCCAGCTATGTTAGTAACAGCCAGTTAACTTACATGCTTACTATCAAGTTTCTATGCCAGAGGAGTACAACAGACAGCCCAGTAAGGCAGACTATCAAAATTTAAACCAGTAGAAAAGCAGCGTTACTTAATTCTTGTTCTATATAACTTCCATCTTCTTTCCCAAAACACATGCAAAAATAAGTATATAGGGAGATGAGATTTTGTAAAAATTCACGATGGACAGTTTCAGAAACAAACTTCACCTGGAATCTGTAAAGCAGTGCAAAAGCAAGCACAACTGTTGATTTGAAGCCAGTTCTCCCTAACTAAGAGTGAATACAGGTAATGTAAGCTACAGTAAAATAGCTACAGTTCACACTGCATGACTGGTTCATGCCTGGTTCGGTTTCTTCTGAGTTGCAAAACAACAGTAATAAGAAATTGCAAAAAGGCTTTTTCTTAATAAATTTTAATGTTAAGACCAGTTTGTCTGGATAAAAACACAAAGTTACAAGAATCACACTGCTGCAAATTCCGCATGATGTGCAGGAGTGCTTGCAATCTTTGAGTGGTAAGACCATTTTGGAACTGTTTAGGAAAGATATGTCAAAGACAGAATCTTGGTGTAAGAAAGAATGTTACCAGTGAGTTTAATATTCTGAAAATATATCTGTCCCACAATGTACACCACTGTAAATAGTCAAATGCAGTATTTATGCACACCAAAATATACTGGGCGAATACTCAATTTGTCATTTAGTCAGTGAATGAGAGAAAAACATTTTGGTTATTTCTTTATGATATTAGTTCACTGGAAGTTTCCTAATAAATCACTCCAAAGGGTAACATTTATGGTTCAAAACAATCAGGACAACAGTGATTCCGTGAGATAGTAGTTTCTGACCTTCTGATAGTGACAGCCCAATCCTCTTGCCACTAGGTTCAGATGCATTTGGCTTGTGCTCACTGCCTCCAAACACGAGTACAGACACTAGAAAATGAACTGCCACCATCACAGCCTGGACCACATTAACTCAAAACACATCAGATCAGAGATGCAACATCAATAAAAGGAGATGATACTCTTAAAGCACCTGCCAAGCGATTCTCAAGTATTAATTATATACACATATGGTCAAGTACGGAATACTGGAGGACAGTATACCGAGCAGCAAGTTTAATGTTCCATCGATTTTCTGATTGCTGCAATGGATACTCACATTTCCCCCATTTAATCTACAAGAGATACTGCGATCTAAGCATATGATTTGATGCTATTTAAAGCTTTGCAATACTGTTATGTAGTTTCTTTAAAATATATACATAAAAATCCCCCAAACATTACTGCAAAAGAACTCTTATCTACATATAGAAATAGCACAGACTTGATTTGGTGGCTTTTGTTTGACTGTGTCCTTGCAAAGAAATCTGCTAACTTTTCCTTGTTTAATAGCATTATGTGTTTCCCTGCCCCACAGGCAATAAATGGTACAAGGTAAATCACTTCCCCAGTATTATTCCCATAAAAAATTCACAGTGACCAATTCCAAAAGAAAAGAGATACTTGCTGTAGGTCTCTTTTGTTTGTTTGCTTGGGGTTTTGTTTTGAAGTAACTGTGCAATATAAAATTCATACTAAAATTTGCAACTTTGGTAACTTACAGAAAAAAAAGATTTCAGGCTCTTTAGTTAAGGACCAGGTCAAAATGGTGCTTACACTCTGTTGTTTTTGTGCAAACACATCAGATAAGGTTCATCCCTCCCCCTGAGGTCCTGAAAATTTCTATTATTGATAAGAAATTGGCTACAATTTCAGTTATGAACCTATCTAATCCTTGGTACCTTTAAATGCTTCCATCACCTAACCTTAGTAAATTATTTACTGTTTCAGTTCAGGAAATCCTGATGCCTAAAGCCGATACCACCCCCCTTGTGTCCCCCCCCCAATCTCCCCCAACAGAAACACCCAGCTGAGTCTCAACAAGTACATCTGAATTCTCAGAAGAGGAAGTATTTTCTTGATTTAACAGCAACTGTACAATATTACAAACTCAGACACATGAAAAACAATCAGGCAATAGAAAAATGTACAACAGCTTTGGTGTTATACAAAATAATAAAAAAGACTTGACAGCAAGATACATAGTTCATTATGTTCTCACCACAGCCACTTCATTGCTGACTGTAAGACAGTTACTTACTTCTGATATTCTGTGTGGTTCTTCCACTCATGAAAACTCATACTATATTACTACAGTAAGAACTGTTATGAACGCCATAAAGTAAGCTCCAAATTTTATAAAAACATCTTGCCTCTTTGCAGTATTGCTTTGTGGCACATTGTCAACAGAACAGCAGTCCAAAATAAAGTGACAACTAGATTTAATAAATTAATATACTTTTTTAAAGATGTACAATGCACATTCTTTTTAATCCAAGGTTTTAGGGTGTCAGGATACTTCTATTTACACATATACAGACCTCAGACAGCATTGATAACATCAGAAAAATGCAGATAAGGAACAGAGCCTTAACTGCTATCTGGATGCTATTAACAGAAGCCAAAACACTGCTGAGAGCATTATTGGAAGAGATATTCAAAGACTGAAGAAGAGTCTATGAAAAAAAAGGACATGTAAAGGCAAAGGGAAGGTCAAGATGTTTATGACCATCTATTCTTGTGAAGACTGAGGTGGAGTTGTTGATGTGCCTTGTTTACCAGACTTCCGTTCATAATTCACAAGTCGTTGCCCGACAAGGTACCTGGGATTATAGTGAAAACAGTGAGAAATTAACACAAGTTAATGCAATTCTGTAACACAAATCGCTTTATCTCCTTTGCTGCAGAAGTAAGTTATCAGTGTAGTAAAAGTTGTTCTACATGTGATTCCCCTTTCCCTCCCAATAGTTTTCATTTTTTCTCATCATCAACCATCCTCATCTTTTTTCTTAACATTCAGGCATGGTATAAGGGAATACAGGCATTACAGGTTTGTGTTTACAGCCTCAACTTCGGTACTCATACAAGCTAAATGAAAATGCGAAATATAAAGAATGTGTTTGCATTATTTTTATACCCAGCCTTTTGCTGGATGGCACTTTTAAGAGCATCTTCACAGTGTTTGTTTGAGCCACCATTACTTGAACATCTGGAACAATTAATCTAAAACCAATGACTGCTAAATGAAGTTCTCAGCTCAAAAAAGAACCTGTCACAATGCAGAACAGGTATTGGGTGAGACTAAGAGAGACTTCCGTTTATAAAGAGTATCTTATAGATAAAAGAGTATCTTCCATTTATAAAGACAGTCTGTTCCTGTGTTTATCTACCTGAACTACAGATAAAACATTTGCCAAGAACAGTTCAGGTCTCCCTTAGAGGGTTGTTAAGTCCAGAAAGCTTCTCAAAATCCTTTTAGCCCCAAGTACCTACAATGCCTGCATTCAATCTGAAGCTGTTATCACAATTTAAAGTGTAAAAATTAACATTCCCCCCCCCCCCACTGTATACTCACTTGTCATTTTTAATATGTTCATAAAGGCGCTTGAACTGGCGGACTTGGAAGGAGAGAATTCCCATCAAAACCACCACCATAAGCAGAAAAGGATAAATTCGTCGCTGAACAAGGTTTTGCATTTCAGCAGTAACTCCTGCAAAACAGGACACAATCCCCACATAATCTAACATTGCTAAAGTGACTCATGCATCTCTGCTTCTCTACCTGCTTCCACACTTTGTTGCACTGTAACTTCAGTAAAAGGGATGTGAAATGAATAGCACAACCATTTATCTCACAGATCCAACATAACAGCTACTGTTCTTTTTCATCCAAAGCATTAAAACTGGAAGTTCTCCATTAACACAGTAAAAAAAAAAAAGGCAGTTTATCAGTTTTTCTTGCTTATTGGCTTCTTTATAACTTGTGTCAGAAAAAAGGTGACATTAAAATCTGCATTCAAGTGAGAGACTGAAGAATAAAATGGGGCTTCTTGAACATGTAACATCAAAACTAACTAGCAAGAGACAACTGTTGATGAAAAAGCACACCTGCCCTGCTTCTAAGAAAATTTTTCCCTCACCTATGAAGATAGGAAAGCCTGAAAAAAAAACCCAAACCAATTTACGTTTTAATACTGAATGAAAAACTCAACCCATATTTTCACTTGTTCTAAGCTTCCTTTATAATCTGAAAAGTCAGAAAAGATGTCCTCAGCTTTTAAACAGAGATTAAAGGTTGTCTAAACAAGAAAGGAATTAATCATCCCTTTCCCAAACTAGCTAGATATCTAAAAGTAGAAATGTAGGTATTATGCAGTCCCACGCTCTCACTGTATTCTGCACTTCATTTTTAAAAGCCAGTCAGAATAATATATTGCATTTCTCAAAAAATCCCAAACTTTTAAGATGACACACCAATTCTTAAGGATTTACATTTGCTGGCAGAATAGTGGTGTGTGTTTGTTTTTAAATAACCCAGAGCATGAAGTTTTATTTCCAGATATATTTACATTGCTCTAAACCATCAGATAATGAAAAGTATTCTGAATATATACATACCTAATAAAGGTACAACACCAGAGGCTATGATGTATGGTACACACAGGGAAAGCAACAGAACAGAGATTACGGGTGCTGCCAGTTTACGAATTATGAAGTGTAAATCAATGTTACGAATCCCATTTGCATATACCTAAGAACAAGAAGTCAGAAGGAGAGAGGATCAATTAAAAAGCCATGCTTTGTGCTTACATTAACAATTACAAGGTTTTACACAATTCTCCTTATGAGAGGAAACAGCTGTTCCCAACTTGAAGAAAACCACGATGGCCACAGTCGAAGAAGGAAAAGCTCTGTACTAATCTACATCAGGATTCCAGGAAATCATCTGAACAGTGCCCGGGAGAGCAACTTAATCTTGAGTAGTATTGTGATTTGGTTGCAGGAGTGCAAGAGACCAGCTGAAAGATCATTAAATATAGCTGTGGATGGTGGTTTTATGGATGATGACCTGATAATCGCTTTGTGCTGTTAGCTTGCCAAAAGAAGATCCTGTGTTTTGCTAGTAGAGCAAATCTATTCAAGTTGGTAACACAGGCAGAAAATAGGATCTTACATTGTAGTTGACTGGGCAGACCAAAGCCTCTGCATGTGGAATCTGTGCCTGAGGAGAGGGCCTCCATAATTCTGAAGTTTCTGCAGCTACCATCAGGAGGCAAGGTCTCAACATGACTAATCACAGGAAAACACCAGCTCCAAATGGCTACCACATACAGCTAGACAATGGCCTCTGTCCCACAGCCTGGATGCATCCATTTCTAAGGACAGCTCAGGAGAATGTGTGTACAACAAACAGCACCAGGGACAATATTCAGAATGGAAGGAAGAGCTGTTGTATTCATGAAAAGGTACTCACAGAATTAAGATTAATTTCTCCAGTGTGACACCTACAGTGATTAGTAAATGGTTTAGTATCTGGGACTATACGCTAGATTTGAGAGGCCACCTCCTGTACAGAGGCCAGGACATTCACCACAGCCATTACATGTAAGAGGGTTGAAAAGTTACTTTCTGACAAACAATTGAGATACTTCATTGAGACAGCAACCATATAACTTTAAAGATTATCAAGAAAAAAAAACTTCTGCCAAAGAAAGCAACAGGCCATGTGACTCAGAACTGTTCACAAAACCTGTTCCGTCTTAATAATCACAGGGGAATAGAAAGACCGTCTTTCATATGTACACTCATCTATGAATGAGCTAATCTCTACAGCTGTGGAGAAGGCAGAAATTCTGTTCTTGAGTGGCAGACATAAATAATATCCAGTACTTGGGACACGTGTGAATTCATCTGACGAAATAATGTTGTTTCTCATCACTTTAATACAAACCCGATAAAATTGCATATACATACACTCTGCAATTGCTTGATTTCAGATTTCTGAGGTTTATTTTTATTATTAAGTGTACCTTAATGGATTGGGATGTACAATTTAATAGGATTCTACAAAATTAGTTGAGTTTTGCTCGATTACTCAAATTACTCCATCACTACAACAGTAACTGTTTTCCAACTCGCACATTCATAAAACATTAAAAATGTATTACGCAGACAATATACAGATAATTTTTCCCTACCTGTTCAATAACAGTTTTCAGCCACCACTGGGGACCCATCAGTGTTATGGCAGCAATTATTTTGGCATGCAAAACTCCAAGAGCCCAGTCCTAATTTTGTAAAAATGGACAGTTAGCATTAACATCTTTTTAAATAGTTTGAGAATCAAAAGCTTTTAGAGCAACTTGCTAATATTACTTACAAGTGAAAAGATAATTATTTTTCTTTTTACGTGGGATATTGTTTAAAGGACATGGCATCTTCTGCAAACTCATAAGAAAGACAGGATACTCTCAAGCTTAACTGACATCTATAAAATACTCAGCTCTCTGGAACATGCTAGGCTTTTTTAATTCTTCTTTTAAATTTTAATTGTCCACAAAACCCTAAACCCTACCAGATGTGGGAAAAGCTAAACAAAGCAAGGCACTGTTCCTTAAAAAAGAAGGTCATACTATTCAGGGAAGAATTTATGCTTTTTACTTAATTTACAATTACTATGGCATGGAATTAAAAGAACACAATTTAACAACAGGCTTCTAGTAAACCCTGCATGTCATGTGTCAGTCTCTTCTGGATTACAGATATTTGTGAAAAGTTCTTCAATAAAACCCATCCAAAATTAGAATGCAAAGGCTGACAAGGGAGAATAAACAGGTGCAGAACTGGTAAGACATCATATGTTAACTAACTTTCTTAAAATGCTGGGGAAATATATTTGCTTTAAGCAATTATTTAAAAATACAGCTTTTATTAACATCTGTTACCCCAGATACATTAAAAAATTTAAGAACTTGTTACAAAAAAGTCCATTTTAAAGTTCCTTTGTGTTTGCTCAAGCATGTAAACTTTGTATAACTATTCTCTTATGAAAAATGGGCATTACTCCCTATTTCAATAGCTCCCTGTTAATTTAGAACAAGACTCAAATCCCACTAATTTGATGTTTCGAGGAAGCTCTGCCACATGAACATAAAGTCTTCCAGTATATTTAACTGCAAATTTTTAAAGAACTAAGATGATCCTAAAGCATATAAAAACTCCATTCATAGCAAATATCACCACTGAATTGAAACCTTGTATGAAAAAAAGTTCAGCTAAAACTCTTGCTGCATAACTGTAGGCAGAAAGCTGTCCAGAAAGGTCAGAGTATATACGTCTGTGTTTAAGTGCATACAACTATACTAACTTATATATATATCTTTACAATTATGCTACTGAAAAAAAAAAATCCAATAACTAAAATGCAAAGACCCTCTAATGTCATCCCACAGAGTGTAGCTTTTCATACTTTGAATTCCTAACCATATCCCTTTGGTTGAAATAATCCTCACATCCAGACTGGATGTCTTTGCCACATAGAAACACACTTGCAGAAAAGGGTCTGAAGCACACAATCAACATGAAACAAGAACTTCCATACTCCTGAATTCTAAGTAAAGAAATACATCAACAGCAGAAGAATGGGACCAACTGACCTGCCAAGGATAGAAGAGAGGTGTTTGATCCAAAGGAACTCTCAAAGGTGCAACAATAACTAGTTCAAACAGAAGACCAAGTAAAAGCGGAACCACACCAGCTAGCAGTATAGCCACTATTAATGTCTTCATTATCTAAAAAAAACAAACCAAAGGCACCTAAATGAGTATCTTCATCAGAGGATTCTTTTTGTTTAAACTTCAAAATGCAATTTAAACTACACAGAGAAAGCTGGAGGGGAAAAAAAAAAATACACAGACCTCTAATTAATACATATATACCCCTAAAAATAACATTCTTACATACATAGTTTTGCAATGCAAGTTTTCAAAACTGGGTTCTACTCCAATACTCCCTACAGAATAAGGAATGATTGTGCCTGAATATGTAATATTACTATACTTAGGCAAGAAATTTACTACAGAAATTCTCAAAATCAAAATAAAATAAAATAAAATATCCCACTAAAATAAAAAGGTGGGATATAAATCCGTTGCCATGGTGAGAATCTGAACTCATAACAATAATATTTAAAACCATTAATTTGAACAGCACATAGATCTGACAAATTATAAAGATCTTCCTGAAAATATGCATCACACTTGTTTGTAGGGACAGGTTGTTCATCATCATCTGTCAGCTTAACTAGTTGTTTTTCTTACTTGATAATGTCAAGTTGCTAAATGAGTAATAGTTAAACCTCCAGGTATATGTGAAAATGTAAATGTATTCAAGGACACATCACACAGGGTAATCTAATGAAACATACTCACTTTTAAAGGAAAACGGAAAAAAACAGGCATATACTATAAAAACCCATACATATATATGCAAACTTATTTATACTGATGGCTTAATATTGTGCTAAGTGGCTTCAAAAATAGTTAGCCTATGCAATGAGAATGTAAGCTGTAAAAGTTTCAAAACAATCTGAAAAGGAAAGCGTAATATACATAACAGAGTAAAACCTGGAAGCAAAACTGAAAGAGCAAGTTTCATTAGTTACTTTCTTAATAATTAAATAAAATGCTTTTCTCTGGACTCACCATGAGAGACCATTCTTTAACCTTCTGAAAAATCACTCGACGACCCTGTGGCATCCAGGCGACCAGCACTGTCACTGCTCGGATAGTTAGCCAACACACATAAAGACCACAGGCAGCTGTATACAGCTCATGGATTTTGGCAGTCCCCGTCCAAAATGACATTAACCAACGGCCAGCAAATACTGAAAATACAAACACTGTTAAATAGAGTAATGCTTTTTGATGTATTAAGGAAGGATGCCTATTAAAAAATACTTATCAAATTTACTGTTAAATACTAATGCACAAATATTATTCAACATAAAGCAGCATTTTAATACTACACCCATACAGCACGAATGCGTGAAGCACAATGTAGTTACACAGATGATGCCAAATACATGTGGGATTTTTCCCCCCTAAAATATCATTACACGAGCAATGTGATCTGAACTACAGCAAAACAAAGCACTATTCAGAACTCTCTGACAAAAATGTGAGACTCATTTGCTACATTTCACTTTTTAATTATGTTTCTATTCACTAGTATTATACTGGAATTATTTTACATAATAATATTAAAACCATAACAAAATTAATATCATTATTAATACAAGGAAGTAAAAATGTTCATGGGACAATGGTAGCCAGGTTACAAAAATCAAATGAGTTTACATGTCTTAATTTATTCCAAATTATTTTTTAAAATACCCTACAAAGTGCTTTTGATTTGGTTCAACTACTTATTCATACGATTTTGGGAAATGGCATGTATATCACTTCAAAGTCTCCCAGTGACCTGTCATGATGACACCTTCAGAATATTTATTGAAAAAGATACCATAGAAGACCTGGTAACAACCTATATATTTTCCTTCTCTAAATGGCAAAGCAGGTGTAAGAGTTTTAAATTCTCTTTTGCTCTCAATACTACTACAGAGATTGTCTCAGTATTTGAAGCCTGCCCTTAGAAGAAAATTATTCTACAACAAAAAAATGAAATGGCAATCTCTGTCATTTAAATACAGGCATTATCTCTTATCATTTACATTTTAGATTATTAAAATATGTTGATGTACCATTAAAAACAAGACATCATTTTCCATGCTTTCTCCTTTTAACTTAATAGCTTCAGAACATCTGCCTCTGTTGAGCATGGCAACATGCTGAGGTTGTTTCACTGTAGTTTCACAATAATGGACTTACCTGGTAAGGTAAGGCAGATAAGACTAGCAATCAGTAATGTTATGCACATGAAAACAATCAAAAGAAATATCTGAAAGAGGAAAGAAAAAGAGAAACAGTTTATAAGGAAGTTATTTAACCAAAGCCAATAAAAACATCTAAAAGATGTGTCATCCTAAAAACACAGCTAAACCAGAACACTCAAACACCAACTCATGTTTCACTGTATGAATAGATCAGCAATAAGAAACCTATCCACAGTGTACAAAGCACATCTAGTGTTACTTATTTCTTTTAAAAGTTCACATCAGTTGTCACAACAGTAAAAATTATCATTTGAATCCAGAATGACTTAAGGGTTTTGTTGTGTTACATTAAAAAATAATCTACTTCTGCACTGATCAGCATGACTTTCAATTAAAGGTTTCTCTGCATGCCAGGTATGCAAGACAGTGGTTTTACAACAAGGAAAAAGCTTGCTGAGAGGGCTCTTCCAGATGCCCTCAGGTTTATGCGACCAGCAGCTGACAGCAAAGCTGGCAGCTAGTTAGTCAGGTTTACATCTTATCAGAGAACTCTCATGTACTCGATCTCTTTTAAGTATTTGAATGTCTCTAGCACCACATGCTATGAAATTCTGTTTCACTAATCAAAGCCACACAAAAAACAATAGAGAAACTAACAGCTTATCATGACAGACTACTGAGAAAGTTAAACCTGTAATGCACATTTTCCTTGATGGGACTTTTTGGGACAATGTAGATCAGTCGCATCTCTACATTAGGATCTCCAGTACTGCTTAAAGGAAGGAAAATCTTGATTTTGTAAATTTGATTTTTTTAAAAAAAGATTTGATTTTTTGTACAAAATCGTGTGATTTTGTAAACGTTAGCCTGAGTGAAAAGGAATGATTCCACAATACCCAGCTACTTGCCAGGTGACAGCCATGTACCCTTTTTCCCACAAAATACTCTTTAGGGTTAGGGATCCCAAATGATGGAAGGAAGAAAACTGGAGTAGCTGACAACTGGACTGCAGACAAAAAAAACCCCTCGATGGTAAGGAAAATATGGTGTGAATTGCTTGGGACCAGTACTGTCTAAACAATTTGTTACTTTGGGAATGCCAGAGGAAAGTCAGTCCATGTGGGAATAAACAACACGTGACAGACTAAAGCCAGAATGAAGCTTTTGAACACTACAAACAGCTGTTTCTTGGATCAGTGAGAACATACAAGAGGAAGAGCAACTCCTGATTTGGACCTAAATAATGCACAGGCAGCAAGTCACTCTTAGGAGAGATGCAGCACTGACAGTAGCAGCAATATATTCAAAGATCTTGCAAATCTCCCTGAAGTTGCCACAGCAAACAGTAAACTAAAAATGGCTTCCAGAAGATGGAATAGACCTCTGTGTGTGTGTGTGAATAAATCAAACCAATCCAAACCAAACCAGAAAATGGATGAACTTTGATGTGAAATTCAAAACTACAGCCAAAGGGATTTCAGAAATAGCATACCAAAATCCACGAGAAGTAATGATAAATTTATTTGTATAGATAGGGTGTTGTTCGTTTTTTTTTAATTAAAAAGGATCAACAATAAGGTAATAAAATCTAAAAATCCTCAGAATAAAGTTTTCAGAGAGTCTGTAGACTCTGCTGACAACAGTGGATTATGTAAGGAAGGCTGAAAGGAATATAAGGCAGTAGCAGGAAAATTCAACGAATTCCATGCATCCGCATTTGTTCGAGAGGCTTTGGGAGGTTTGTTTATAAAATAAAACAGCTGGAAGAGTTATACAGATTATCTGATAAAACTGATGATAGGCTCTTATGTAGAATACTACTACTACTAAAAAAAATTCTTATCTTTTAAGATTAGCAGTATATGCTTAATTAAATAATAAAAAAAAAAAGTCTTTTTTCCTTCTCAAAATGCTTAAAATCCCAACTGAGAAAGTAATACAGCACTGTTCCCCAGTGAAAGCCTATGTGGGAAACACATTTTGCTTAAGATGAAGTTATCAAAGTAGAACCAAGGCCAGTATACTAAAAATTACAGCTGAAGCACTTACAGTGATGCTGAGTGTTTCATTACTTAAGTATTTCTAACAAGTGGAACGAGGGACATAGAATTGCATCAGTGAGCTACCACATGTCTGAGATTGTGCAAGTGCTTGAAAATCTCTTGAAAACAATGGATCAGATATTCTATTAATTTCTACACTCTGTCGAATGTCTCCAAAGAACTACTTAAAATACCTAGATGAAGGTAAACAGACCAGAAAAAAGAGTCTTTGGCAGCAAAATATGAAACTACTTGGTTATTATCACCAGGTGAGCAACCCAAATTACTGAAAGCTTATAGTATGATGATTTTAGCACGTCCTTATCCAGAAGCATCCACAAAAATAAACTCATATAAAGGTATTTCTAGAAAGTATTTAATGAGTCCCTAGGTTAACACAGCCCTTATTTGAGAGTCATTTTAGAGGGTTAAAATCAGGAATCAGGTATAGGGAATTATTTCCCACCTCGGCCACCTTGACCCATCCCAAAGCCCCAACTTCAAACACCCAGAAGCTCAACAGTATCCTAAAATGCTTCCAAATTTGCTCTCAGTTCTACTAAGTTAAGATTAAAGGGGAGAGAGGGGGAGGTGGTAAGAGTATGGTGAGAAAGAAAAAGCTTTATTTTGTACTTTGTCATGAGAATTCTGGCAGATTCTGCGTTTTAAGAAAACTTCATAAGCAATACTGCATTGTTCTAACTTTACCCATTACTTCCACTCTTGAGCTATACCTGGAACCATAGTAAATGAGTTGTGTTTAAGTTTATATTTATTAACTCAGAGTTCTGGTAACAACAAAACAATTTATCTATATATTATTCTAGAAATTGAAGTATTTGCCAACAACAAACTGTAGGGATCCAGAACTTTCACGTATTGTAACACCTTTCTGTGTTTAATACAGATGCAATAAAAGTTCTCCATTTAATTATTTAATAAAGCAAAATAGTTTAAAATACACTTTGGCTACAAGACTGAAGTATGCCTTCTTGAAAACCATGCCGCCTGAACTACCCATTTGCTGGGGAGTTATTCTGTTTCTCTTCATTAACAACAATTAGGAAAATAAGAACATGAACTAACAGATAATACACAACAATTGTGGTAATTGAATGTCTTAAGTTATAGGCTGATAAAAGCTGTACGTGAGAGCAACTACTTTCTAAAAAGCAGAAATACACAAATAGAACAAGACACAAAACAACATGACCCACCACTTGATTTCTGATAACATGTGGGCCAAATTTTTGGCTTTCCCTTTTGTCTTAATGCATTAGATATACCTACCCTGAGCGGGAATTTTAAAGGCCTACGATAAGGCTGGAAACCCACAGGTCCTCCTTGTTGAAGTATGGCTTGATGGGCTGCATGAAGACCTTCCCCCACAACTGGAATGGCATTATTATTGCGAGCATGTTGGTTGTTAGCTTGCTGGTTTGCATTGTTTTCATTCTCTTCCTGGTCACCAAGCAGGTAAGAATGGAGATCCCTGTAACAATCAAAGTTTCAGTTTTGTTCTGTTTGATATGAATGATAACCTTACAGAAAAAGAGGCTGACCCAGAATGTGTATGAGCTGCATAAAATTTATACAGGCAGATTCTTGATAAAGTAAAATAAACCATTTTCTGATAATGTACTCAATGTCACCCTAAACACAGAATTTAGAAGAAAAATATGAGTGTGGATGTAGATTAGAACAGTGGGAATACAGCCACAAGTAAATTACTTACCTGTTTGACTGCTTTAAAAACATCTGGTATTAAAGTTGTGCATATAAATGGAAAATTGCATCAATATTTCAGTTCATGTAAGCAAGCAGTTCAACTGCCAGCTTTTATTTTACTGCTACTAAGCTCTACTGGAAACAATTGCCTTCAAGCCTAAACTGTACAAGGACAGTACTGAACTGCTATAGACACATTTTCCACAGTACAGTACCGAGTTTTTCAAGATTTTATATTACTCAGAACCTGTTCTGAGCTTTCGAAGAACATAATCCTAAAGAGTCTCAATCTACTTTAAAAAGTATGCTGTTGATATTTCTGGCATACATCAATAGCAAACAGACATTTGAGTCTGATTAACCCCCCTCCCCCAGACCAATATGAACATTTAGAATCTGATTTTCCTCGACTTTAGCAGAATTTTTATTAGCAGTAAGGGTTAGTGTTAGCCAACCATATCCTGGGCTGCATCAAAAGGAGCATGACCAGCAGGTCAAAGGAGGTGATCCTGCCTCCCTACTCTGATCTTGTGAGACCTCACTTGGAGTATTCTGTACATTTCTGATGTCCTCAACATAAAAAGGACATGGAACTGTTGGAACAACAAGGATGATCAGGGGACTGGAGCACCTCCTGCATGAAGACAGGCTGAGAAAGTTGGGGCTGTTCAGCCTGGAGAAGAGAAGGCTGCGTGGAGACCTCATGGCAGCCTTCCAGTATCTGAAGGGGGCCTATAGGGATGCTGGGGAGGGACTCTCCATCAGGGACTGTAGTGACAGTACAAGGGGTAACAGGTTAAAACTTAAACAGGGGAAGTTTAGATTGGATATAAGGAAGAAATTCTTTACTGTGAGGGTGGTGAGGCACTGGAATGGGTTGCCCAGGGAGGTTGTGAATGCTCCATCCCTGGTGGTGTTCAAGACCAGGTTGGACAGAGCCTTGGGTGGCATAGTTTAGTGTGAGGTGTCCCTGCCCATGGTTGGGGGGGTGGAACTAGATGATCCTAAGGTCCTTTCCAACCCTAACTATTCTATGATTCTACTGGCAAACAATGGAAACATTTTTTACAGCACTCTGCCTTTTAAGAAAAGGGAAAAGATTTTCCTCTTCTGTCATACTTAAAAACTATCAAAACATGGACAAATTAAAAATGTAAGTTTCCAAAATGCAAACTAAGAGAACAGGCTGGGAAGAGTTTCCTTATGAAAAGCTAAAATAAGTATTTTGGATTGCAGTGGGAGACAAAAGTCTTTCATTTATCTGTCTCAGACATAGCAAAAAATCAATCTTCGTTTTAATAGTGCTGCATTGGCACAACCCACAATGAACTAGACATGATGAGAGAATGACAATACACTTTGAAGTTAAATCTAAAACTTTATGGAAACAAAATCAACCTTTTTTTTTTTTCTTGGCTAATGTGTTAAACGACATATGAACTAAAAAATAATTTCAAGTTCTAAAGCTCTGCCTGGCAGTCTAAATTAAAGAACCTCACTTTGTATGAACATTTATCTGACAAATACAGTTTTATCCTTCTTTAGAGATTTTTAACTTGAAAATCTCCAATTTAAAAGGTATGCACTTCTTCAGTTTAGTGTTCTAAACTTTTTTTTTCTTCTTCTTATAGTAAGAAATGCAAGATGACTCATGGAAATGCACTGCTGACACTTACCTCTAATTTTTCCATATAACAGGAAGTTAACAAGCTGTTAGTCATACTATTACAGATTTTTTTCTTTTTCTTAACTAAGCAAATGCTGTAAGAGCATACCAAAAGAATTATTTGTCAAGAAGTAGGTACAACTACTCCTTAGAAGAAGAAAATAACTACAGAAGTTTTATATCACGTATTTATGTGTAGAATAGCTTGTCTGTTAGGTAACTCTCTGGAAAGCACGCTGCTTTCATGTGTTCCAGAATCCTTGAACTCCGGAACATACGGTAAAAGGCTAAGCTGGACACAATCTTTGTAGTTGATTTTGTTTTTCTATACTTACAGCAAGTAGCCAGCAGTAACAGTCCATGCTCGTACAAGACCTTTCAACCACTGTCTTGTATGTCCTTGTTCTAGCAAAGCTGGAAGCACTACCTGAAGCAGAAGAAGCTCTAGGGAAAGCTCACTTACTGGAGCATCACTAGAAACAACAGGAAGAACAGAAAATCAGACATGAGGAACATTCTGATAGTAATCTTTCACATTGAGTCACCACCACAATAAAAAAAGTATACTGGATACCAACAGGAACAATTCTTAGTTTTTTGCAGACACTTTTCTTTATATACTATTCCAAGGTGAAGTGTTCACGAGTGTTTAGGCATTAAGAAAGAAAAAACTGTTGAGAAGGATTATATAAGAATATGATTGGGTCTTTTACTTGCTTTTATCATTGCTGTTTCAGTTATTGCTTAGAAACAGAAAGATACTGATATTAAAAAGAACCAGTTACAGATATTCTTTTAGTCTTGAAGTAATGATAATCAGGAATGAGCGTGAAAACAAACATGACAGCAACTTCACTATCAAGAAGTTGAAGGGGAAAGTGTTCTAAGGGCACATAAAAGCCTAATAGCTATCATCATGGATGTAATACAAAATGCCTTTTATTTTTCTTGCTGGCTTTTTATTTTGATGTATCCACATCCTTTTTATTTTCTAGAACAATGAAGTTTAGATTAATTGAAAACAAAAAAAGTAACATACCAGTGCCACACTAATGCTCAAAGAGTGCAAATAATTTTTTTCTAGTTACAGGGAGACTGAAAAAACATCTTTTAAAAAATAAACACTTACCTGTAAAGCATAACATTATATGGAAGAAAGTTAGGCAGAAGATATTTAATAATGCGTATAGGAAGCCAGAGCATGAGCAGTACAATTGATCCAAAGACAATCTGGAACAAAGAAGTTAGAATTTAGTCCAATTAGCAGAAACAACCAAACATAGCTCCCTACCAATCTCTCTGACATGTTGCTTGTGTGTGATGGGTTAACCCTGGCTATCAACCCAGCTGCTCATTCATTCTCCTCTGTAGCTGAATGGGGAGAAAATAGAAGGATGACAAGAAGACTCATGGATTGAAATAATGACAGTTTAACAGAGAATGGAAAAGCTGAGAAAAAGCCTTGATGCTGTGCAAGCACCCTTCAGCCACAGCCAAAACAGCAGTGTGTTAGCAATACTGTTTCAGCCACTAATCCAGTGCAGGACATGGGCCACTATGAAGAAAATAAATAGATAAATATATATTAAATAAATATATAAATAAATATGAAAAACTCCGTCCCCTATTCCAGTGTGAGGCTGGTAAAAGTTCTGAAATAATTAGCTAAGTAAATTAAAACTGTGAAGGTGGTGAGGCACTGGAAGGTGTTGCCCCGGGAAGTTGTGAATGCTCCATCTCTGGCAGCGTTCAAGGCCAGGCTGGACAGAGCCTTGGGTGACATGGTTTAGTATGAGGTGTCCCTGCCCATGGCAGGCGGGTTGGAACTAGATGATCTTAAGATCCTTTCCAACCCTAACTATTCTATGATTCTGTGATTAAAAGGTGAAGTTCAAGTAACCATCAGCTCTAACACAGTCTGAGAACATATCTTTTAAGACTTTTCAGTAACAAGCAGATCATGGCAGTGTATAGGAGAGGTAATGTGTGACATTTTCTTCCCAAATAAAGAAAAATTTTGAAAAAAGTCCTTACCACTGATAAGATAAATCTCCTGAGATGTCTATAAATGGGCAAGTGAATCATTTCCTGCACAGGATTAAAGTCTGGATCATTCAAATTCCTGAGAAACCATAAGACACCAGGTCTCAATACCTGAAAGAAGAAATAGAAAATTATATATGAAAATTACCTATTTTTCAGTTTTGATTTTGGGCAAGACCGCTGCAGTAAATAAGTTCTAAACATAATAAGGTTATTTTTTGAACAATGTTCAACAAAATGGTACATAGAACAAAGAAAGCATTATCAGAAAGACATAAAGAAGCAATAACCAATTACAAGCTTATTTCTCAAGTATTAATCTAAAAGAACTGAACTACATTTAGATTCATTTGAAGTCAACACCTATGTTTAAGGACACTTTGTTACGATAAATCTGTAAATAAAATAGACTCTTATCATCATTTCCCACTGCAGTAAGTAAGTGTGACCCTTTTTACATAAGGTTGAAATCCAATATACACAGATAAAACACAGTACCAGCAACACCCATATGTGAAATATTTAACCAAAAGTTCAACATCCAAGGTTCTCTGTGTTCTATACCAATCTTGTTCTTACAGACTTACCTCTCTCAATAAAAGGATGAAGGATGCAAAATAAAAGACGTAAACCATCCCAACTAACCAGTGCAGAAACATTGTGGTACCTGGGGCAGACTGAAAGCTCAATTCTCTATCTTTCAAAGTGGCATCAAACATCTCCTAGAAGATAAGTAGGAAACAAATATGAATAAAGTTTGGCAGTCTTCCACAGTTACTCATTTTGTTACCCTAGTTCACATATACTACTAGGCATTTAATTTAAATGTCTGCCTTGTTCTCACACATAAATAATTATAACATTTAATTAGGAAAAAAAAAAGAGGGAATAATTTACAATAAAAACAGCAAATAAAGATCAATTTCTGATCAATTTCTTTCTTCTGACAGAAAGAAGTAAACTCAAACACTAACATATAGTACATAAGTTCTAAACCAGTTCAAACAAAGTGGCACTGTGGTGGAAGCAAATACTTCCTTAAGTAAAGTTCTATTTCAACTAAGACCAGAAGAAATTAATTTTCTCCATTTCTAATTAATCACAGAAAAACTGTCCTTCTCAATTCAAAGTAAAGATAACACCTATCTTCTTCAAAAACAGAGATTGGATAACTATTAAAATATGAAGTCATTACCATTTCCCATAAGATGGCTACATAAATAAGTTTATTCAGTACACAAGTTTGCATTTGTATTTAGTAACACAAAGGAAAACAAAATCAGCATTAAGCAGTACCTAAAAATCTCTTTCCTGCTGGAAACACTATATTCATAAAAAGAGAATACTGTTGTCAAACTCTTTAACAACTCTGTTCTCAACAAAACTTTTCCATTAAATATAAACACTGTTAAAAAAGATTTTATCCCATTTATTTCCATTCTTACCAAAGAGCATATATCCAGCCACCAGCCACAGATGAGAGGAAACACACCAATTTCAACCACTACTAACAAGGAAACCTTTAGGAAAAAAAGAGAAAGAAAAAAATCTCACTAGTTTAACAGAAATTGCTAAGACAATTATAAGTTTAAATTGACAGGATTTTTTGCTACACGTACACACACACACACACACACAGGATTACCTTGACAACAATATAGCAAACTCCTAATAAACGACGTGATCGCTGGAACTTAACAAGAGCTGCCAAACCCTGAACAGTTTTGTCAAGAAAATAATACTGAAAAATATTTTATAACATAATTTGATTAACATGAAACACTGTATTATGTGGCTTTTATAAACAGAAAATTTTATAAAAGACAACTCTGAAAGAGGAAGTATATATTTTATCAGGGTTCTATTTTCAAAATTGCCAATGACTCCGGAAGTCACAATCTGATGTGCTGGATAACTCCCCTCAACATGCATCTAAAGCAAACAACAAAAAAAAAACTACTAGCACCCTTCTTAAATTAAGCATCCACAAGTTTTCTCAAGAAATACAGTTGCCTTTGAATACGTCTGCCATCAGTAAGGATGTTTCAAAACTGAAGGCCTATCTTAAATGGTAGCTTTCCTTTTTATTCAGTCTGAAACAAATTCACACCTTTTCCAAGAAGAGCTGGATACATATTATATTTAGGGGACTTGTTTTGTTTTCTTTTAGGAAGTAAAACAGAGATGTGCCATCAACTGTTTTACCACATTTGCACTGGACATTGGTACAGTGTGGTCTAAAGTTGATGTTAGCTTTTCTTAAACAGAAAGCTGCCTACAAATGTTTATTCTTTCTAATTGATTTTGGGGTAGTCCCTTTAAAAAACATACAGCTCAAATACAGACTTTTTACTTGCGATCAAATCCTTCTAGCTTTCAGGACTCTGCCATTGCTTAATTTTCTCTGTGATATCACCTGAAAGAAGTTCATACTGCAAACTTTCAGTGCTTCAGAGACATGAAAGAGAAACTAGAGCAATCTGCCCTCTAAGGATCTGACAGGATCAAAAAGATGTGAATAAATTTCCCATCATACCTTATGTTTTCATAAGCCCATTTATCTTTCTGCTGAAAGTACGTAGCCCATAGCAATAGCGTAAGGATTGTGAGAGGAAAAATTAATGATTCTTCCCTCCTCAGACAGAAGAGATCTTTTCTTCTTATTTCACCAAAATAGCAGAACAAAACGGTAAACTGACTGCATCTATATTATGTCTGGGACTCCTCAAAATACAGCCAGAAAATTTATTTACATGTAAAATCTAAACCAGGTAACTACTGACAAAAGGATACATGGCAAACAATTAAAGTCACTGCTAGCAGAACATATCCGACTATAGTTGTAATCAGGCCTTCAAAGTGAGATGCTTGAACCTGGAGGGGAGAGAAAAAAAGGGAACATTTATCAGTCTCTTAAGAGATTACACCTCCTTCTTATGTAATTAAGATAAACCCCAAATCTCAACTCTTCCAAGAAGAATGACATTTTTCTTTAGTTTTAACATATTTTAATAATCTATTACTTTTTTTGGTATCACCAAAAATAGAAAATGTTTATATTTTCTGGAAAAGCATGAGAGCTACTTTCTTCAAACATGAAACAACCTCTATATGTGAAATGAAAAGTGTCATTTGACAACACTAGCTTTCGCTACCTAGTATCATCAACTATGGAAATTACTCAAGTGCACAGATTAAAAATATACATGGGGAACAAAAGACTCTTAAACCCCCCTCAAAACATATGCATTTTTTTGTAAAAGGAAACTTCACTTGGAATGTATATAATGGAGGAAGTGGGAAAGAGTGAGAGAACATTTTTAATCAGAGATTAAAAAACGCATGAGGAGAAAATATGGGACACACTCCAGGTGACTTTTGCAATCACAAATGTAAGTGGAAGGATGCTGTAAAAATATTGTGACTAAATAAATAGTAGCAGGTTTTTTTCCATTTTGACACTATAAACTAGTACTTACATATTCTTCAAAGCCCAGGCCAACAATGGAGAAGTGACCAATATGGTATGGACAAAATGCTGCATAAGACAAGTAGAAAGAAAGCAGAAAAAAGAAGACCATGAAACAGAGCCTTTTTTACAGGTTGTGTATTGTAACATGGGAATTATTCTATTTCTCATCAATTTTGGGAAAACTACTGAAAAAAATTACTTTCTGTACAAATATTTGGAAGTATTATATTACTATAATTTTAGAAAACACAATCAGATCAGAATTCACACTGTAAGACTACAAACAATACAAAACTACACAGAAAAAGATGACAGTCTTTTAGGCTTTTATTCTTCTTGCTTTGTGTAAATTTATTTAATTTCTCAGTCTTACGTACTAGGCTCGCATGGGTCTCACAGACTGCTGTAGGACCCTGCCCTGTATATTTACTCTTTCCCATGCGCTAAAAGCCTTAAGTAGCCATTTCGGGTCAGGTGGGACTTGATTTAGCAAGTTTCAGTTTTAGTGCTTTAATTCTTAAGAATACTGTGAAACATGTAAGCCCTGCAGAAATTTGCAACAGGAAGAGAAGATGATGGGGAAAAAGACAATGCTCCAGTGAAGGGATGAGGAACAACTGAGAAGTCTTTACTGTGACTTAACATACTAAGGACAGTCATCATCCCTGAGAGCTCACTCCGGCCAATTTGGAGGTCTCAGGAGGAATGAATTAAAAAAACCCACAGGACTTGCCCCATTTTTGGACACCTGTGTATTTACAACAGGATCAAGTAGTTCTTTTATCTGTCTTTATGGTCTTTTAACCAAGCCACAGAGGACTACAGAATACAACATCGCTTTTCTACAGGAGTAGGAGTCAGTAATGAAGTAAAGGGCTGCAGTAACTGCAAGCTTTTATTTTCACCTGTATTACCTTCACTATATCATGATAATCAACGCCAGGCACTACTGCAGACTAAACATACCCTCAAATGAAAAGCCTGCTGATTTTCCTAATTTCCATCTGACTGATACATTTAAAAAAAACCAAAACAACCCAAACCCTAGGAAAAGACTGCAGAGGACATGTATTACCTCAATCAGTTTTCAGAAAGTGTTAATTTACGCCCCTTTCAGAGGAATCAACAGTTACCAGGAATAGCAAAAATATAAAAGATAAAGGGAGGACTTGAGCTCTCTTCCTGCTCCATAAGAACAAGAAAAAGTGAGGAGGGGGAAAAAAATAAAAAAATCAGACTCCTATAGACATCAGACTCATTTTACCTTTTTGACAGTGTTTTATGAGATTATAGTGCACAATTTATAATGTTTTTTAAGTAACTTTCTTTAAATCAGAATTTCTAATAGATTGCTTTTAATGAAAAGTGTGAAGAAGTACAAAATCCTCTGAGCACTAAAGTGGACTGCAAAAAATATGAATTAAGTCCAATTTAATTAACTCGTCCAAGAGAACATCACAGGAGAATTTCTGGACTGGCAATTAAGGTTTCAAATGCTTTCCTTCCAATCTTATCTCCTAGAAAATACCTCCTACGACATCTAAACTCACCAGGACCATAATTAAAATTAAGAGATTTGGCAGTTGTAAATTAGGCAATGTTACTTAATAGGAAAGATACTAAAAATAGGCTTGAGAGGCACATATTAAGTTTCCAGAACTCCTGCTCACTTGCTTGGGAAAGTTGTTCCCCTTCTCTACCTGTTAGTTTCCCATTTGTTAAAGCACACTTATTGTTCCTGAAAGCACATCTATATGACAACTTCATTAATTATTCTTGTTACTAATTTAATCAAGAATTTAGAAATTTCATAGCTATTATCTACTTCTTAAAAAAGCCTGATTTTTTTTTAGTAGCTAAAAACCTAATTAACTTGTGAGAACTAGAGATTAAAATAGACTAAGTATCAGAAATAATTCAAGTATTTTCCAATTCTAATTAGAACAGTTACAGTTTCTTCTGAATTAAATATACATAATATTTCTTTTTATTTTCTTGATCAGCTGATTCATTTAAATAACTAGATGCTCAAATCACTGGTTCAATACATGAGCTTTACTCTGCTTATTTCTTATCTACAGTATGACTTCAGTTTTTAAAGTTCAAACTCTTCTGCCAAGAAAGAACACTGAAAAAAACAGTGCAACATTATCCATGTATAAAGTACTCCATCTTGCCATGACTATGCTATTGCTTCTACACACGGTTATGTCAAATTAACAACACTAACAAGGCTCAAGCACCATAATGCAAAAGCTTCTGTTGCTGAACAGGTAAAACTGAGTCACAGGGAAGAGCTGTTATTCTCTCAGGTTACTCAACAGGTATAAGGCACCAATAAAAAAGCATTTCTAAATTTGTTACCTCCCTTTCTCCAGTAAAACCAGAGTGGAAATGCAAATTTACCCTACATATCAGCAGTAAATATGAAACAGGAATTCCAGAAACTTTCAAGGGGGAACTTACTGCTATGTACAATGCATATTATCCTAAGGCAGGTATATTATCCTTTTAGGTTTCAAATAATTGAGAAATATTACATAAACCTGTGGTTAGGGGATTTATATACACACACATATATATGTCTCTGGGAAGGAGAAAGAAAAATAAAGTAAAATACACGACTGATTAGAATTTACTGTTTTCTAAAATTAATCCAACTTGTATGAACTAAGAAAAGTTGTTCCATAGTAATTTTTGACACAAAATGGAAATACATTTGACAGCTCTTTAGAGTCAGCTACATTCTTACACACCCTGCTCCCTCCCAGTTTGAGCTGCAAAAAATGTATTCTTGATGGAAAAATGTATTCTTGATGGAAAAAGGAATTTAACTATATCTAGCAAAAACTGTAAGGAGAAAAAAAGAAATAAAAAATTCTGTCCATTCCTAAAAGTACTTCACTTGCTACTAAATTAAAAGTTTCCTCCTTTAATTTAATAGTATTCAAATATTATTTTCCATGCTTTGGTTGACATCATTAAGCTTTTGGTAGATTTCCTATTTTAAACCTATTAGCTTAAAAGAACTAAAATGACAGAACTAGAAGCAACAAAGATTTATTATTCATATTCCCAGCTTGTTTATGTTTCCATTTTTAGATGTCACAACTTTATCTATTCTGAAAGAATAGCTTTAAAATTAAGCTTCATTATTGCTACAGAGAAGGAACTTTATAAAACTCAAGAGCAAATGATACTTACCAAACACAAGTATGAACAATGTATTTAAAGATACCACCCAAAAAACATGCTCCTGCAAGGGGTATGGGAGAAGGAGGAAGGAAGATGATGGTTAGTATCAGTCATTTAAGTACACAACTTTACTTTTGTATCTAAACTTCTTTCAACTGCCTATTATTACCAGAAATTGCACATCACTTGTCAGAGCCAAGAAATTCACTCAAACACAAAGAACAAAACATGCAGGACAGATTACGAAAGCATCTGCTCACATTCATGCACATTTATCTAGGTGAGAGTACTTACATTTGCTTTAATACTCTTATGTTTTTAAAGTAAGCTTTTATTTTAAAATCTATATGAATAGTTCCACCCTCAAAAACAATTTCATGAAATATATGTAATTGTTTTATAAATGAGAAAATGTTCATATTTAAAAAATATAATAAAATTGATATTGATATAAATTAAAATAATATTCAAGAAGGAAAAAATTCTAGAAGGAATAAAAAAACCCCAAACCAAATGAAGTCAATTTAAAATCTAGTTTATGGTAAAAATTCACTAGTGGTAGTTATGGTGGTATCAGGACAAATCACAAAAGTCTGAATGAGGACACTATTTTAACTATAACATAACAAGCAAAACTTGAGGCTAGAACAGATACGTATTTTCAGTGTATACCAGGGAGTACATGATCCAAAGCTACCTACGTCTTTTAAGAATCACCACTTCTAAACTGCAAGAGGGTAGATTCAGACTGGATATTAGGAAGAAGTTCTTTACTGTGAGGGTGGTGAGGCACTGGCACAGGTTGTCCAGAGAAGCTGTGGCTGCCGCATCCCTGGCAGTGTTCAAGGCCAGGCTGGACTGGGATTTGAGCAACCTGGTTTAGACGAAGGTGTCCCCACCCATGGCAAGGGGATTGGAACTGGATGATCTTTAAGGTCCTTTCCAACCCAAACCATTCTGTGATTCTATTCTGAATACGTATTATATAAAAATAGGGACTTCAAATAGAATGATGTAATTTTAAAAACTAGTTTTACTTAAAAAAAAAAAAAAAAAAAGCCTTCTATAGAAATTCTTGAAATGCAGGATTTCACTTACTAAAAAAACCAGAGATCCATCAAGTCCAAGCATCTGGGAAAATAAGAAAGTTGATTTTTTTTTTATTCATTAGGAAAACTAAGCAACACACATCTAAAATAAGTCTCATAGAAGTCTCTTTCAAACCAACTTTTTATGTCCAATACAGGCAAAATTTTTTTTTTAATTGCTCAACCAAGAGAACCAGGACATAAATTCTCACAGTAAGTTCTCATTCAACAAAGTAAACTCAGTTGATCAAAGGCACTGATATACATGTGGAATATCTTAATACACTTGTATTTATATATTGCAGACCATACAGATAATCAATTTATAGGCTATTTCACTCTAAGACTTTGAAGACTGACAAAGATTTTCTATGTTCAGAACATTTTAGTGATTGAACTGATTTTTAAACAACATTAAAACACAAGAGCAACATTTTTTTTTTTCTTCCTAATTGCAAGGTATCAGTTTATGTTGCACTGAGAAAATTAAAAGGTTTGTATTTTACCTTCAATGTATAAAAGCAACTAGTAACAGGCTAATGTTGCTACACTATATAATTAAATTTAGAGCACAAGTGGTCTACAGCTAGGGAAGACAGGAATCAAATTCCATCACACTGCACAGCTGTTATGGGAAGCATCCAAAGAATAGGCAGAAGTAAAGCATCTATTAAAAAAAAATAACAAAAGTCTCTCCTTTTCCCTCTACTTTGTGGTTTTCTTACTATTTTAATACAGACACTTCTACTCCATGATTACTGCTGTGAAGAACCAGGATCAAGGCTATTTTTTTTTAACCAGGATTTTGCACTAAGTTACACATATTTCACAAAATAAACCAAGATGCAAGTATTTTCAAAAATTCAGAAAGCTTGCATACTATTTTCACAAGATGAAATAACAGAAAACTCTACCTCACTTCTGATACTAAATGCCAAGTAGATGGCTACTGCCTATGCCAGCACGTAGGATGGGAAATGGTTATGAAGCCAATTTATATTCCTGGAGAGGCATCAAAGTATTTTCAATTAAGAGTACATCAACATTTCCCAGCACATAAACTGGGTTCGGAAACATAACACTTTCATTTTGAGATCTGCACCAGAATGGTTCAGTAAACCTGAATTTATGCATGCCCTTTTTCACTAAAAATCTTTTAAAACAAAAATTTTTCACTAGATACAAAACAAAGTTGAAGACCTGTCCCTTATGATGAAAAATTTATTTCTACTACACGGCAATCACGGCAACAATTGTATCACAGCCTGGCAACACAATGACTAGTTTTACAACCGTTTGCAATAGGCATTAGTAAACGATGCTGGTAAATCCCATGAAGCTGCTCTATCTACCTTCAAGTAGATTTTGCTGCCATGTGAACTTTGAACTCAAATATTGGCTACCTCTAAACCAGCTACAAAAAACTAGTTCTTGAGTCTCTACACTACTCTATGATTACAGTGCACATTATTTCATGCTTTAATTAAGGGATTTATGATCCATAAACAAAACAGATGCAACGTTATATTAAAATGCTCCATAATGTTTTAAGAAATATATTTGTCTTTTGCAAATACATAAATTTCTTTAGTTTAATGCTTTCATGAATACAAAGATTAAGAATTAATCTACATATAACACAATACCTATGTGCTCCTAATCTGGCCTACATCCTCAGTGCAAGCTGCAATTCATTTCTAAACCTGACCAAGTTGAAAACTTCAGAAAAGTCTGTGCTTAAAATAAGTCTTGTTTTAAGCTGCTGCTATATTTAAAATCAAAGAAACGCCTTTTGGATAGTTAATAAGTAGCATAATAACATTTGGCTTTTAAATACAATGAGTTTTAGATCACTAAAGCCTCTTGCTGGTAGTTTTCACACTACACAATGGTATCAACATTTACCCCAAATGGATTTTAACACAGCAATACTACAAATAATTTCAAGTATGGGTCTTCATTATTCAATTCAAGAAAATTATTCTTACTCACTCGCTCCCAAGTAAGTTCTTCTGCTGCTCGATCCCATTCCAAAGCATTCCAGTTCATGTCATCTGAGGAAACAATGGCCATTTTTGTAGCTGTTAGACTCACACAAAATAAGATGCAACCACTCCATGCTATGTTTTAAATGAACAAAAAGACTTAAGTGCATAATATTCAACTTGTAACTGCTGACAGCTTTTCTGCAAGCAAATGATCCAGCACTCAAAAGAAATATATGAATTTTACAAAAAACAAGGGTTAATAATAAGCTGAAGTGGGAATTTTCACAGCTTCCTTGAATTATGACAGTTCTGTTTTCGATGCTTTCACTTGTATTTACAAAGAACTAGAACATTACTGTTTTGAGTCACCTGTTACCTTGTGCTCCATTGTTTGCATCTGCTGCATCTTCAACTACAGCATCTTCTTCATCTTCATTATCCTCCTCCTCTTCATCTACTTGTTCTTCTTGAATTTCAGGGTTCTCACCTACAACTGCATTCTCAGCAGCTGGGTTAGCAGGTTGATCCAGCACAGCATTTTCAACACCTCCATTGACAACAGCCTGAGCCTGCAGAAACAGGATTTAGTATTCAGTTAAATTGATCAACCTCACTCCGTACACTTATTCTGCGTATAGAAAAAATAAAGAGTATTTTAAAAAATTTTATTAATGTCTTTTTTTTTAGACAAACATTAAATTTGGGACTACTAAACCTTTTAAAAGGGGAAGATAAAAATCAGACTTCTTCCCAGAAAGCTGAGACTGGAAAGACCCTTTAAGGATCATCTAAGTCAATCCAACCCAAAGAATGGTCAGCTAGAGCAGGTTGGCTGGTCCTGTTGCAGTTGGCTTTTGACTGTCTCCAGAGATGGATACTTTACAACCTCCCCCAGCAACCTGTTTCAGTAATTGATCACACTTACAGAAAAGGAACAAAATACAACAAAACCCCAATCAAGAAATAAAACACAAACAAACAAAAAAAAAACCAAAACCGGGATCCAGATTGTTCTGGTTGGTTGGTTTTGTTTGTCTGGGGGCTGTTTATTTCTTTGCCTAGGGCATTTTTGGTCTAAATGAAATTTCCTGTGTTTTGATTTGAGCTTACCGTCTGTTGTCCTGTCACTCAATTCTACCAAGAAGACGTTGGCTCTGTCTTCTTTACATCTTTCAATCAGGCATTTATACATACTGGGAAAGTCTACCCCAGCCCTTTTCATGTCCAGGATGAACAGTTACAGCTCTCACAGCCTCTCACAGCATGCCAGATGCTCCAGTCCTTCAACCACTTTTGTTGGCTCTTCACAGCATGCACTCAACTATGCCCATGTCTCTTGTACAAGGGCGAGCCTAAAACTAAATACAGCACTCTAGATGTGATATCACCACTGCTCAAGACAGGGGAGCTCTCTTATGAAAGCTGTCATTGTAATTCAAGGACAACCCAAGCCAGTCATCAAGCTGAGGACCTCCATCTGTCTTTAAAAAACCCTGACATTTATTACAAAAGAAAAAATTCTAATTATTTCCTCCCTATGCACATGCTGCCTATCTCTGCTGCTGCCCAAGAGGGTCCTGTAAGCAGTAAAGCGGTGCTGCATGTGGTTGGGAGATCGGGGGAGGGCAGAGAAGCTTCAACTTCAGAAGTTCCAGCAACACCTCCAACTGCTTTGAAAACAATGAATTGTTACCTCATGAACTACAGAAATACATAAGAAATAAAAACAAAAGCAAGCTGTATCTTCCCTGATTGTGGCTGACAGCTCAGCTTTACAAAATTATCTTAAAAAGTGTAAGGATACAGACATAAGAACGTAAAAACATTACAGTTGGTTTACAAAAACATACTATAACATCCATTAAAATTTTACAGAATTTCAAAAACAGTGATATCACCAAGTTTATACAGGAACACAGGTTCAACTTCTACTAACGTACAAAGAAACCCTGCAGTAAAATAACATTACTGTTGGGTTCTGAGAATGTATTTATTCACAACAGCACTTAACTACTGAGTAGCGAAGTTTTACCTCATTTGGTTGACCAACACCATTGAGTGGCTGTTGCTGATTTTGTTCCAACCATTGTGGTGCTCCTCCATGGACAATCTGTTCACGTAACCAAACAAGGCTGATGAATGCACACAGAGTGCAAGTTACCACAAAACACCCCTGCAAACAGTCAGCCAGCAAGTTCTCCCTGTTAAAAAAAGAAAAACATCCCAAAACAAAACATTAATGACAAATATATTTTGCTAATTTAGTAAATTTAGTCATTGTAACTACCAGAAATATAACCTCCTAGTCCAAATCAACAAATAAACTGGTATTTGTGCAAAAAAAGCTTTATTTACTTATATGTCATAGAATCACAGAATAGTTAGGGTTGGAAAGGACCCTTAAGATCATCTAGTTCCATCCTCCACGCCATGGGCAGGGACAACTCACACTAAACCATACCACCCAAGGCTCGGCCCAACCTGGCTTTGAACATCGCCAGGGATGGAGCATTCACAACCTCCCTGGGCAACCCATTCTAGTGCCTCACCACCCTCACAGTAAAGAACTTCCTCCTTATATAAATCTAAACTTCCCCTGTTTAAGTTTTAACCTGTTACCCCTTGTCCTATCACTACAGTACCTAATGGAGAGTCCATCCCCAGCATCCCTATAGGCCCCTTTCAGATACTGGAAGGCTGCCATGAGGTCTCCACGCAGCCTTCTCTTCTCCAGGCTGAACAGCCCCAACTTTCTCAGCCTGTCTTCATGCAGGAGGTGCTCCAGTCCCCTGATCATCCTCGTGGCCCTCCTCTGGACTTGTTCCAACAGTTCCATGTCCTTTTTATGTTGAGGACACCAGAACTGCACACAATACTCCAGGTGAGGCCTCACAAGAGCAGAGTAGGGGGGGAGGATCACCTCCTTCGACCTGCTGGTCACGCTCCTTTTGATGCAGCCCAGGATATGGTTGGCTTTCTGGGCTGCTGGCTCATGTTCATTTTCTGTTGACCAACACCCCCAAGTCAGAGTAGGGCTGCTCTGACTCTCTTCTCTACCCACCCTGTAGCTGTGCCTGGGATTGCTCTGACCCAGGTGTAGGACCTTGCACTTGTCATGGTTAAACTTCATGAGGTTGGCATCAGTCCAGGTAGATGACATCAACTGCTCTACCCCTGCCCATCAGTTCTGTAGCCCCATCATAGAAGGCCACCAAATTGGTCAGGCAGGATTTCCCCTTAGTGAAGCCATGCTGGCTGTCACCAAGCACCTTGTTTTTCATGTGCCTTAGCATGCCTTCCAGGAGAATCTGCTCCAAGATTTTGCCAGGTACACAGGTGAGACTGACTGGTCTGTATCTAGATGTAATTTTTAATTACTTTTGAGAAATCATGCAAAACCAAGTTTCTTTTAGGAAGGCTGTATATACCTGCGTATAAATGGTTTTAATGCCAAGATAAACACTGATTTGGAACAGATTTCCCTCTCGTATGGTTCGTGAAATTACTGTTTAAACGTAAATACTCCTGCAAAACGGGATTTGACTCAATATGAAAAAAAGCTTCAAGAATAGTTCAGGAAAAACAATCTTCAAAAATAGCAAAGGAAATACAATAGTTGCTAAGTAAATGCTACAGTAAAAGCTCTGTTTCAATGGCTACATGCACAATATCCACTCCACTGAAACATTTAACCTGCTGAGCTACCCTAACCAAAAGAATGGAACTGCAGGGTTTGTCTTCCACAGCTCTATTTCAGGTAGTCTTTACCCCATCTATTATCTCTATACTTTAAAAATCCTCATTTATCAAAACATACATAACTGTAAAGCAGCAGTAAAGTAAAATGCACTTAGCCAACTGAAAGTAGGGTTTCGTGCAATGCAAAGGTACTTAAATTGGCTTAATCAACTCTCATCCCTAATTCCAGGTACCCCCTCCCACTTGTTTCCACCCTTGCACTACTCCTTGACCACAGTGGATTTGCTTAGGGAACTAATTACAGTATGTTCTTTAAAATATGCCACCATAGCATTTTGCCACCCCTAGTCTAGCTCTCAATGCAGCCACACAAACACTTGTGCCTGCACAGCAGAGTGAATACCACAGGGACAGGATGTCTAAAATGAAACGATGCAAAACGCTATTATCATTGACTCTATCAAAGAAATATGTGTCAAAGCACAGCTTCACATGCCATTAAAACCGGACACTAGAGTCCTTTATTTTCTCCCTAGACTACAAAAAAATACAAGAACAGGTGCTAGGTTCAGTTGTTTCAGATTCTTCTCAAAAATCTAAACTTACTGGGAGATAACAGGAAAAACACTGCTACTAATCTCAAGCTAGCGTTTCTCTTTATTAATAAAAAACAATTAACATTACCTGATGTCTCAAATCAAATAGCCCAAGTGAGATGGCTCAGCTGCACAGCACAGGACATTCACTCAAAATTTACTAGATTCTACTCAAACAGTTTCAGTTTCTCATGTTCAAGATAATAAAACAAAGTAAGAACCAGCCTGAAACTTTGTTATGCTGGTATTTATTGTTTTAAGTAAAACTGATTTATAAAAAGACAAAGATAGACAATATTCAATAGCAAGCATATGGTGATTGACTCAAAACTAAGTGTCGGGTAGAAGGAAATTGAGAAGGAAAAAAAAAATTTAAAAAAGTCTCTATCACATAAGAGACCCAGGTGGATAAAAGTAAAAATGTAACAAAGCAAACAGAATTAGCAAAATATATTGCTAATATATTATTAGCAATATATATTAATATCCTACTATGTGGCATCTGAGTCATACTGCAGGAAAATAATTTTTTTTAATTATTAAGTATAATTTTGCAGTGTAAGTTTTCTTGGCTTCAAATACAAAACTTCATTACCTAGGGCCCATTTTTTAAAATCAGCTTTCCATCTCCAAAGATCCTGCATAACAGAACTTCAAAGTAAAATGATTTCTACTGTAATACTTTAGCTACATATCTCGTTTTGCAAAGGGTAACAGACAGCTGCTCACGTAAGATGATGGAAGATAATAAGCACAACTGGAAGAAAGGGGTGCGACATTCCAAAGCAATCATTTTCACAGTAATCAGACGGGAAAAGTTATTTGTATCAAACTGTTTAAGTACTTACGTTGATAGAATATCTAATGGCAGTGTCAGTAGTGAGCTCACAGAGCCAGTAAACAAGCACTTGTAGATACGACCTGCATGTACAAACAGACGCATGGTATAAATTAGATTTTGGTTACAGTTTATTTTTTATTTTTTAACTGGCTTTCTCATGCACTAATGTAAATACACTTTATGTTAACACAACAGCAACAGCATATCATAACCTGCTGGGATTAGGCTGAGGGTATGCACAGATGGATAAATTCCTTTTACTCAACCATATAAGGCACGTACACAATAAAGAAGTGAAATTACCAAAAAAGAACGTGGAATTTATCCTACAATGGGATAACTGCATGATGAGCAAGTTAATCTGGAAGACAAATTTGTTCAACCATACATCTCATTTGGTATGTTTGACAACTTTTATGCTGCACTTTCTTCTTCCAGATATAATGAGAAGAATATCCCTTACGAAACCAGTCTCACAAAATTATGAACCATATGAGAGAAACAGGGAAGGCAAAAGATTACATTAAAAAGCATTTAGGTATTACAGAAAACGAAAGATTACATTACAGGCATTTGAAGTAAGAAGACAAGAATTATACAAAATCAATCCAAGACAGAGACTGACAAATTTCAGAAGTAAATGGATTTTTCAAGGTTTGTTAGACTGAATGAACCTATCACGTTGGATATCATCCTGTGTAAATACATTACCCTTCACAGTATATTAATTCTTAAAGGAATCCACAAACATGGATATATGCGCAACGTTAGAGACAGAAATTAAGACAAAGTAAAAAAAAACCCCACAAAACAAACTGGTCACTTGTAAATCAAAATCATAGATAAGTTATACTGGTTTATTAAACAAGCATTAAAACCCCAAAATGACATTTGTAAGAAAAAAACAAAACAGAACAAAACAAAACAACCTCCCCCCAACTCTTACATAACGATGTAGGTGGTGACTTCTGGTAACATTTCAGTGTTACTGAAGAGCCAGCATCAGGTTTTCAGACAGTTATGAAACATAACTACCTTAATTAAGCTACTGAATATAATTTTGCTGTCCTTCAGAAGCTTTAGAAAGAAAAATGCACAACATTTGCATTTTGAAAGAAAGTGCTAAAAAATCAAGATTCATCTAAAAACCTAAGGAAGAATTTTCAGATCTTTTTTAGTGCTAATTCAATTTGTAAATCTTGTTTTCTCAAGCCCTAGAAAAGTTCCTTTTCTTGCACAGGAAGGAGAGGCAGCAGAAACAGGATCACTTTTTCATAGCTGCCAGTACTGTGCTATTCCCAAACTAAGTCAGTGCCAGCTACAAGTAAAAGCACAGAACATATTGAGAAACTGTCTAGGGAGATGCATGTACTGCCTCAGTACTATTTTGTTAAAGGGGTAATTACTGTTTGGAAAGATGCACTTCCAATCATTTCCTTCACTGAACACTATATCCCTTTTACCTCTTTTTATCTTCTCTATATTTTTAGCTTGTTGAAACATCAATAGTTCTCTTTCCATTTGTTTTTGAAAAGTAAATTTCAAACTGAATACTACAGTAGTTTAAACACGTGCTCTTTTTCTACTGAATTCCTTTAGTACTCATAGTTCTTTATTTCAGTTTTTTTTTTTAAGAGGAGCTTTACTAATCAATTTATGTATGACTGTAAAGGGATTTTGGGTTTCATACTAAAAAGTAAAAATAAATACTGCACTTTGATTTATAGATAGTTAGAAAAACCAGGACAATTCTTCTATCCTATTAAATGGTATAAAATAAAAAGGTCCATGAAATAAGATAACTGAAAAGAGGCATTTTATTGGAATAAGAAGTTTTAAAGCCCTTTTATGCATTTTCTTCTACCTCTTAACACCTTCCTGGCATTGCACTACTGGCGTAAGAGTCAAGCAGCTAGAACTTCCAAGCAATACATAAGTGAAATAATGTCTTCAAACTTAAGATTTATTATTTTTTTAATAAACCAACAATGACCTCACAAAACTTTGCTGCAGGAAGCGGCGTATTTTCCTGCCTGCAAGACTATTACAGTACAAAAAATTAATACTTACATGCAGTAAGAGGTACTACTCCCAACCATGCAAAGGCCACAAGTGTATAATGAAACCAGTATCGTATTGCTGTGCCAATACTTGTAACCAGTCCAGCAAAGATGTCTTGGATTGGAAGCCGTGAAGGCATATCTGGGGAATAAACTGTGTAGAAAATGCACTTATGAAACAGTTCTTCCTTTATAAGAAGCATTTATGTAAAATTCCTGCCAACTACAAAATGCTCGTGTTTGGCAAAAGCTTACTAGAAGAATAAGCACATTTTACAGATTCCCAAGAGATGACCCCAAACAAACAACAGAAAAAACTTCACATGATACATTTGTTACATTGTGTACTGAGTGGAAGGAGAAAATTAATAAACTCCATGCTAGTTCTTGACTTGGAGAAGTTTTCTTAATAGCTTTATCAACTGGAAACTGATTATCTCAAAATAAGCTCAAGCCTGCAAGAAAAAGCAGATTCTAAATTCAGCAGCCCTCCTACTCTGCAGTACCTCAAAGATATCCCTGTCTGTTATTCATAAACTTAGTTCAAGGAAAGAGTACAAGGAACAAGAACAATTAGCAGTTTTGTATACTGACAATCTGTTTGTATTAAGTAACTTAGATTCCTACCTGCTATCCAACAGCACAAAATAAAAAAAAAAGGGGAAAATGAGAGCACCTCACAGACAGGAAAACAGAAGGTAACCAAGTATTTACAGACCTTGAAATTCACATAGAATGCCTTTTACTTTCAACAGATATCTATTTCATATCATGCAAGACTTCTTTAAAGGTCACTCCTATTACAGAACACAATGCAAATCTCTCAGCCACTACATTTTCATAATAGTGTATTTTCACAACTTTTAAATTCAACACCTATATATTACATAAACCTGTCCTTACTCAAAAGCCAAGAAAAACAGTGACAGAGTTTCTTCTTTTGCAAACAATTAGAAAACATTTATCTCTAATGATTACATTACATTTCATTACATTTCAATCACAGATTTGAATAAAGAAGATAAACTACAGTTAGAAGTTGCACAAAGACATTGCTGCCTGGATATTTAAGTTATGTTGAAAACAGCTGAGCTTGAAGACTTTCACCCATTTAATTAACGGACTACTTTTCAAAAAGAAAGAAAAAAAATCACATGCTTGTAACTACATAAAGAAATGTAAGTTTTTTAAGAATGACTAGAGAAAAGTTTTCCTTCCCTCTCATGGACAACCCTTTGAAGTCTGAGAAATACTGCTTCATACAACCCACTTGCATCCCCTCATTTTCTCTAATGAACATCTTTACTATCTTTACCTACACTCCTAACCATTTACTAATCTCAGAGAGTAAGCTTCTGTAGGATAAAAAAAAACCTCTCTTTTCTCTCCAGGGATATTTCCCATAGTTTCTGTATTGTAAAAAAACCCTCAAGAACATAGAGAAGTAGTATCAACGTGCATAAGTAGTCAAAGAATGTGGAGAGATTGGTGCATTTCAACATGTGGATTATATTTGACACAAATTAACAACAAAACAGTAACCGTAACGCAAACAGTAACTTGTTTTAAATTTCAAAGGTTCTCAGTTGTCAGGTAACTGGCAAGGAACTGGAATTTATAAAAAAGAGGGCTACAAACATAGCGCTAGGGAAGTGTAGCTGTGAGAACATAAAGCAGTAAAAGAAAGCAGGACAGAAACATGTTTTGACACTATCTACCAAGTTACTATTTTCTTATTACAAAAATGGATTTAGTATACAATTTGGCAGTATTATAGAAAATGCCAACTGAAACAAAACTGTACTCAGCAGACACTCAAGAGGCTTATTTTTTCCATTTTACAAAAATGTGTTTTACTCAACACTTTGGAACTTTAACAGAGCCTACAAGGAAAACATTAACTTTGCATTAATCATTTATTTATTAGGGAAAAGCTGGGATGGTTTAAAGTTTTGTTTGGTGTTTTTTTTTTTTTTAGAAAAATGCATATTTCAGGAATTACTCAACACTTACACAGGGGATTGTAGAAAATGGATGCTCAACTCAGGAAAACTGAAGTGGTTGTAAATTTTAGCACCTCTACATACTCACTCTTCTAAGGCTTTAGGATTACAACTGAACATTCAAATAAATGCACAGCACATCTACTACTCAGAGAAGACAAGCTGCCACAGTGCAACTGCATCCTATTTCATGTCTCACTCTTTTCCCATTCAAGTCCACCTATTTACTTCCCATAACCTGAATGGGTGCATACCTAGCGTGGAAGAAAGTAAAACATCTTTCTTTGATTAGGTAAAACATTTAGCCTACTTCACAGAATCTCCATACTTAAAGAGTCCTCTTACCCATAAATTTGCTATTCACTATTACACTTGCAAGCCATTTAGAAGCCACCTCCCTCATCCATGTGCACTGATCATGAAATAAGAATCACAGAACAGGTAGGGTTGGAAACAACCTTAAGAACACCCAGTTCCAACCCCCCTGCCATGGGCAGGGACACCTCACAATAATGTGAGGTGTCACCCAAGGTTCTGTCCAACCTGGCCATGAACACTGCCAGGAATGGAACATTCACAGCTTCCCTGGGCAAACCATTCCAGACTGTGTAACTCAGAAGCAAAACTTTGTGTTTTATAAATGATGGATTAAAGCAGTGGTTTGGTAAAACAGGGGTTGTGAGTTACTCTTTAGGCTGGATAAGATGATCTGCAAAAGACCCTTCCAACACGAATCATTCTATGTTTCTGTTTCACACTTTTGAGACATATACAGACTTTGCTGCAGACTTCTAAGGTAAAGGAAAAAAATGCCACCCCTTCTCATGCAAGCCATGGATCTAATAAAACATATGACATGACACTTGAATGTATCTCACCTGCATGTTTACCCTACACCCTGAATCTGGCAGCAGACATGCTGAATTCTGTGCCAGCATGTAGTATTTTCTTTCAGAAGTTTGGTTTTCCAAACTACAGTTTCTAGAAATGCTGACGCTATGGGCTACTGTATTAAAGTTTGTCAAAATGAACAAGTAAAAAAAAAAAATCAGCCCATTATATTTGTCAATAAAATCTTAATTACTTCAAATAACAAGCCCAAGAAAATGGGTCACTTAGTATAATTACATACCTTCCTACAGATAGTTTTGTACAAAATTAAAGATCCAAACGCTTGGAACTTAATGAAGTCTACAAACAACATGCAATTACTAAGGGCTGGTTTTTGCACAAGTTTCTTAAAAATACAAACATATAATTTAATAATTTACAATTATTTCAGAGAGCTACTAATTTTTCTTTGCCTTTAAATCTGTGAACCATGAACACTTTCATATTAAGCTAGATAGGTTAGTCACATCCAAAAGGCTTTAAAGATGATCAATAAAAGTATCAAGGCTTATGGCTTAATAAAAAACACAAAACAACCCCAAACAACAACCGTAAGTATTTAATGTGGAGAATCTCAGTATGCCATAGGATAGTTTAGGAGTCCAATCAATCCAAATGATCAAAGGAACAAACAGTTCCCAATCCAACAAACTTTCCTATTAACTATTACATGCGAACAAAGGTGGCAAATAACAAGAAAGAGGAAGAACAGTAACAAAACAGGATTACAGCAATACAGTTAGGTCCAAATACATGCAACCCTTGAACTAGGAACAATGCATGCATAAATCAAAAGCTTATTATAAAATAATTTATAAACTGAAGAGTAGCCTACCCATGTACCCTCCTTCTATTTTACAATCTTTGTTACTAGCTATGTTTGTGACATCATAATGACCACTTAGGAAGCAGAGAAATAAACCCCAATCCCCAAAGATCAGGCTAGTCTACCTCCATATTTGTGTTTTTAAAAATATTTATGTTACTGTTACCTTCTACAGAAAAGAGAAGTTTTGAAAACTATCTTCTCTTGGGAAATGCAGTCTTTCACTGGTGAGTGCTTACGAACATTTAGTGTAGCATCAAGAAAAGTGCACCCTAGCACATGACAAAAGAAAGTGCATGTGTAGGGAGGAAAAGAATACACAGTAGCTGGCTCTTTAAAAACTCAGAAAGAAAACATCCAGGTTAAAAAGGAACAATCACTTTTTAAAACAGCTGTATGAATTCGTAACTGGAGAACTGCAGAAAATGAGTATTTAAAACATGAATTTAGCTTCAAAGTGTGCATTTGAAAATAGAGTCATTAGCCTACATGACTAAACATTTTGAGAGAATGGTGCTATTATCCAGAAGAAAAATCAGTTCCTTTGTACTCCTGCCAAGACGCAAGTTGAACCTTCTACTCTTTCCTTCCTCTACAAACAGTAACTAACTTTGTAGCTCAGGTGCTAAAGAAGTCACAAGATGTTACAAAACTTAAAGAATATATGCCCTAGGAATATTTTATGAACACTCCATATGCAAAAAGTTATGCTAGCAAAGGAGCCTTTTTGACAGGATGACAGCAACAGCCTTAACAAGAAAACCAAGCTAAACTAAAAGAGGAGGTGCTGCTGTTACTGCACTATTATTCTCTGCACTCTTACTGCACGTCTGTTGAAGCACAGATTCTAATTATATACATGTGTTTATGCAACCACATCCTGTGGAGAATTATATCTGAAAGTGATTTAAACATGACATGGTTATAGACCAGATCCACCTTCGTTCTGGATGACTGGCACATACATCAATCCTGCCTCTGCCTTATCGTTCTCTCCCCAGCACCAGTGACTCTTTCCCAGCTCCGGCAAAGAGACCCAGCTTCCAGACAGCACATCCACATTAGAGTCCAAATAAAGAAGGGTAAGAGAAACTAAGGACACTGTAACTGCATGAGTGCTGGGCATGAGGGAAACAATGAAACAAGAAGCGCTGGGTAGAGAGGGCTGGAGGAATCTGTGCTAGATACCTGACATACGCTACTGTGTGCAGCCTGGCAGAAAAGAAAAACAAACCAACCAAACCACACTGTGCAATGTGCAATGGGAAGAAGAAAACATTACCAGCTGAAGGTGCTCAGCCTGGGGAGTGGCCAGTGTGTGACAGGAGGATAAGACGACCTTTGCTAGAGGCTGAATGTGGAGGAAGTGCTTTATTACACAGTGAAGAAAAAGGTTCACTTACTATCAATTTCAAGGCTCCTCTGACAAATGCTAACTTGTTAAAACCACAGTAATTCAATTACGTTTTCTCATATGTCCATAAACTGCAGCTACATTACAAGCTGTGCTACCAACAGCTGTGTCAGGCAAGGATTAAACTTCTGCAGGAACATTTCTGTTGATAAGGACAGTGAACAAGCTTTCTAGTGCAAATAGTAACACACATATAAAGCGCATTTCAATTAGAGCTTCATGTCCTCTTTTTTCTCAAGACATGAACAGTGCAGATACTCAACAGTTTTTTTTTTTTAAATACATGTCTGCACCATGAAGAATTGAGCTCAGCAGCTGCGAAGAATAAATTGGCACAAATAGATTTAATGAGAAAAACAGGTATACAAGAACCGCTTTACCTGTTCAACAGGCAGTAAGTTGGCAATACTAAATAACGAGCCTAGCCTGCCACCAAGCCAAATGACCTAATTTATTTCTACTACTATCTGTTAGAATGTAATTAAGAATCCTCTGGGAACTACATAAAGATACCGCTGTTCACCATAAGCTGCGTAACTTACTTAGTTGAATCTAACATAACAAGTGATGCAATATTGGACATTTACTATATTTTGACTGAAATACAAGTGGAGCATTTTTTTGCATTATCTGTCAAGATCATTTGAATCTAAACTGACAGAGAAGTCAGGTGGTAGTGTTGCAGATGGATAGTTCAAAGGCAACTAACAAATGTTTTTCAAATTCAAATTTTGCTGTGGTTTCACCCTAACATTCAAACTTTCAAATACTCAAAATTTATCAATGAAGCTGAAAACATGACATATGCTGTAATGTTGGCAACAAAAGAATGGGACTGAAGCAGTCACAAAAGGTGCAGAACAACACTTTTTTTATGGCTCATGTAAGATTATAAAAGACCAGATTATCCATTATTTAAACAATTCACAGTCTGCAATAATATGCATAGGAACTGCAATTCAAACAAGAATATATGTTAAAATGCAAGTTTAGATCTACCATGCTGAGTGAAAAAGTAAACATTTCACATATACTAAGAAAAAAATAACAAAAGAAATTAAAAAAATAGGAGCAGTAAAACACTTACTTGGTGTGAAAGCAAATCTGTGCTTACATAATTCACAGTATTCTTTTCTGCTGTGTTTAAGCCACTGAACTAAGCTGCAATAAAAAGTGATCATATTAACACATGCTATTACATCTCCTGCTTTACCCCTCCCCCTTAAGGAAAACACAGTAATTCTCTGTTTTCAAACATAAATCAGGCTACTTGTACTATCAAGCAGGACTTCAATCAGCACACTTATTAACGCCATTTAGGCCATCAAGTAAGTTTCGCAAAGTTATAGAGATAAGCTGACTATGAGAAATAGCAATTCCTCAAGTCCATCACTTTATTTATTGATAAAGTACATTCTTGGAGTATGTTATTAAAAAGGCTAATAAACTGAAACATATCCCAGCATGGACACAAACAAGTGACACTATTCCTTATAAATACTTTGAGATGACACATATATGCACACAGCTAAGATTTAGAACTCTTCTATTTGCAAAAGAATGGCTATTAAAATACCTTCAAAAGGAATGTGTGCTTTAGGCCACAATTACTGTTTTCACTCCAGCTAATTTCTTTGATCAAACACACACCTCAAAATGATCCGAAAGTACTATGGTATTTTTATTTCTTGCTATGAGGTTAGTTGTTCTTTTTATTCACAACTAGAATTGGGCAGAAAATGCCCCAGCATACTGACTTTTCTGCTCAGTTTTCATAAAGCTGACATATGAGCAGAACTGTAGTCCTAAACACAAACAATTGTCAGTACTTCCTTTTCACGTAAAATCACTAAATTCTTTGTGAACTGTAATGAACCATCAAATAAAAAAACATCAAACCCCTAACACTTCTGGCAAAACCTGGATTTTCTTACTAGCTAACCTGAAGACTTAGGATGTATTGGTTTGAGAAACACGTGTTTTATTAACAACAAATAATTAAAACCCCACAAAGACAGAACTCACCATTCCTGATGAATAAATTTAATACTCCCAGTACACACACATGGATGATAGAGAGGTTTCTCAGGAGTTCCTTCAGACCGACAGACTCTGCATATATCTGCTGACAAGGACACAAAGCTTATTACACTGCTGCTTAAAGAAGTAAAATTTACAAGACAAATTATACAGTTAAATTCCAGAAGCTTTGCCATGTAGCAAAATCAAACTAGAATACATTGAAAGAGGATGAAAGAGATTTCATCTGAAGCAGGACATGAAGTCTAAGAGATCACCAAAAAAAGCAAGAAAAATATTATCTGCCCGTTTGCATTATTAAAAAAAAAAAAAACCACACCAAAACCAACCAACCAAAACCTCAGAACAGTGTATTTTTACGATTTCTAGGAAATAAATACAGTAAAACTCCACACAGAAGTGCTCTTTGCCTAAAAACGTTATTGCTAAACAAACATAAGTGTTAAGGATAATCTTCCAGCAAGCAGAGACTTTAAAATGGAAAAAAAATCATTTACGTTTTGGACAACTTAAATGAAGACTGAGCAGATGAGATTTACTAACCCTAACAATGACTTAGACATGCCACTTGCTACTCTTGAACCTAACATGGATGGTCCTTGGTGCTCCTGATTAAGGGAAAAAAATAATCCATCAAAATAAACAGAAACAGGTATTCTGTGAGTATTAAGTTTACTCCAGTTGAATAAGGCCATCCATTTAGCAATCTACAGTCTAGTCACAAAAGGAAAGACATTTTCCACTTCTTATTTCATGATTTCAATTTCATTAATATTCCAGTAAGTCCGACACCTTCTTTATTCTATTTTTTTTTGACATTTTCTTACACCAAAGTGTGCAAAATGTTTTATGGACAAAAATAATGAGTGTAAACCTCTCCCTCTAAAGAACAGATGGTATTTTAATACCACTCAGTTATCCAGAGCATTTAAATACACAACTAAATATAAATAGAAAACAAGTTCTTGATTTCACAGAATCATAGACAAGTTTGGGTTGGAAGTGACATTAAAGATCATCTAATTCACACCCCCTGCCACAGGTAGAGACACCTTCCACCAGACCAGGCTGCTTAAAGCTCATCCAGCCTGGCCTTGAACACTTCCAGGGATGGGCATCCACAGCTTGTCTGAGTAAATTTACTTATGGAGAAACGGTATCTTCCCTTCACTACTTCTTTTACTTCTATTAAGAAAATGAACATAATCCATCTATTTTTAGAGAAGATTTTAAGTTCAGGATTTTCTCTTTTGTAAATTACTTCTCTATCAACCACCATCCAGCAAACCTGCATCACTGTAACATGCAGAAACTGTAACACATCAGAGACCCTCATTAGTAAATTACCAGCTTAAAGTACTGATGTAAGAATATTGAAAATACGTAGTTCCAAGTGTGAATCACTTATCTTTGTTCTTGGTTGAAAGAGGCACTGGAACAGGTTGCCCAGGGAGGTTGTGAATGCTCCATCCCTGGCAGTGTTCAAGACCAGGTTGGATGAGGCCTTGGGTGATATGATTTAGCGTAAGGTGTCCCTGCCCATGGCAGGGGGGTTGGAACTAGATGATCTTAAGGTCCTTTCCAACCCTGATTATTCTATGATTCTAAGTTAATGTTTTTTTTTACAAGAACTTCCAAAAGATACCAAACATTCAAATGTGAATATTCTTCTATATCCATAGTCTGCACAGTATTAGTTTCTACACAAAAAGTGTAAGAATTTAAATGATTCTAAAGTAAAAATATAATTTTCTATTTATAAAAAAGAGATTTAAATTTATTTGTATATGCCAACCCCCCCGAATTAACAAAAACATGTATTCAGTACCACATTAAAGATGCTACAAAGAGACATAAAAGAGTACTTCTGTCGCAGCCATACTGGGCAATGACATATCGCTGCAAACATCAAGAGCCCCTGGTTTCTCTGAGGACAAGGCCGACCAGACCCACTACTCCAACTAATGAATTATTTTTTTGCCACAGAGAGTATTTCCAAATGGCTGCTCAGGACAGGCCTCTTCATCTGAGAGGCAGGACCCACCCACCGACTGCAGCATGCCCACCTTTCTCCGGCATTTCCTCCAACAGAGCTATTTCAACTACAGCAAGTTGACAACTTTGTACACTGGATAAGCCTCATAAAGGGTCAAACAAGCACAAGAGAGGATGTGAAACCGCTGCTCTAAGAACACTCTCTGGCATGAAAGACAGTAAGTTAAGAGCACACTGCTCTCTGGAAGAGCCCCAGAGATCTCTGAACCCAGTCATTAATGGTCTGTTGGCTTCCACAGCAGTTCGCTTATCCTCAAGACTGCTAAGAAGAAAAAATGTAATTTACTGAAAGCAAATTAATTCTTTCTTTGGAAAAGGTTTTCTTCTGCTAGCTTACTAAAATAAGTTAAACCTACATTTTATTTTTTCAAAGGATATGAGACTTTCTAGATATTCCCACTTGTTTTATAAATCCAAATAAACATATTATGAGTTTAACAATCTGGACTGTTAAGCAGCTGGTATCTTCAAACCGATAAACATTGCTGAGGGCCAAAATGTAAAGCTACTTATGACCTACTGTCACATTCAGAGGGAATTCCACTGCGTCATACACGCTGTTTTTCCACTTGCACAGACGCTTTGTGCCCTGTCCTTCATGTATGTGTTTTGGAAAGAATGACCTTGGGTAATAGCTCTTTTTTGTTCCCCCAGAGAGCAATTCTCTATCACCTCCCTAACTGAATGTTCACTGAGGTAGCATTCAAAAGTGGAGATTATGTTGTTATTTTGCAACAAACTGATTTAACTAGAAAGAAACAGAAGCACCTCTCAGCAAAACCTGGTATCTGTCCCTTTCAGGTTCTAGAGAAGAAACAACCATTCTGAGGTGAAGCTGCTGCTTTGATCTAGCCTTTATTACCCTCCACAGCCTCTCTTATCTGAGCTCTCACCATCCAGTCACATTTTCTAGCTCCACAATGTAATTCAGTAAAGCACAAAATCCATCAGAAACACAACGATCGTAATGTCGTTAGTGGGCTATCAACAGCTAAGGAAGTGCATCTGACACTGCGACAAAAGTTCAGGCACACACCAACACCAGAGCAGGTACTTCCTCTTCCTTAAGGCACAAACAGTCTTTTCTGCTACTCTTGTTTAGAGCTTTATAACCTTGGGAAGCCTCTTCAGCATCCTGGCAAGTGTTGTGAAATTCTAATAGTGGGAACTGAAGTCTGAAACTGTAGAAGTTGTAACATTCTTGTGGTATTTATGGAAAGCGAGTGTATATATAGACTACTTACTTTCATGCTACTATTCAGAGCTTTCAAGGGTAACATTGATAAGGCTATGAAATGGTATCTGAGACTACATGTATATGTATTTGTGTGTTTTTTAATATATATATATAAATGAGACAATGCCTTTAGATACAACAGCCCTCTCTACTTTCTCTTCATTATCACTGTTAATAACAGCTCGTAACAAGGTACAGAGATAGTGTCTGAATGAAATCCACCAAGATGGATTCACCAACTACTGGAGTGGTGGGAACTCAGCCGGACATTTCCAAGAAACCACAGTTTGCAACAGTCCAGGTTTTTCAGGCAACTGCGGGCCAAGCAATCAAAGCTTCAGGTTGTTAATTTCACCACTGCGAGCAACTGTTGGCGTACTGAGGCAGGCCAAGGTTGCAGCAAGCAGTCTGAAAAGTTGTTAGATATTAAACACACTAATTTAATAAATATTAGTTTGGATAAGCACAAAAGATATCTACAGCACAACCCAGGTGCCGTCTTTCTTCATCCAGTGTTTCATGGTTTTGCATTCTCTTTAGCTTTCTTCTTTTTAATTCTCTCAAGCTGGAAAATCCAGCGCCACTAGATAAAAAAAACTAAATTCAGAATTATGCCAAAGCAACAAAAGCCAAGACACAAAGCACTTTCCTTGGAACTGCTTCCCTGCTGCAATACGTATTTGTAGTTATTGCTTAGGTTGACAAACAAAGCTCAAATACTTCAAGAAACATGGCACAACACGTATCCTTTATTTATTTTGGTTTACACTACAATATGAACTACTGGCTTATCAAAGTTCCGCATCATCAGCTTGAACTATGCAGCTCCTCAACATTCTCTGAGCCGAGCAAAAGTGCTGATGAAACATACCCTCGTTTATCCCAAGTAAAGCAATAACCTTAAAAACGCTAACTAAGCATTAAAAGAACATGACTATGACCTCTTTGACAACTTAACTTTTTAAAATGAGGTAAGTTGCTATGTGTCAGCCCCTTGTGGAAGAGCCAGTAAAACATGCCAGCCCCTCCATCATTTCACTATTTCATTTTTCAAAGTACATTTTCTCAGCATAAAGTTAAGGCTGCAAAACAAGCAGCAGCTAAAGCTGCTCTTACTAATCAGATGGAAGCGTATGTTTTGCACTCGCTAAGCTACAGGGCCGGGTACAACAGCGTCTGCCACCTAAGCGACGCCGGGACCTGGCGAGGGTTTCACAGAGGCTTCGGGCTGGTCCCTCCCTCACGGCCTCTCACGCTGTGCCACGGCTCCCGCGGTTTCCTCTCACACAGCCCCCTCCCTACAAGCGCAAGGCCGGCGGCACCCCGCACCGGGTACCGACCGACCGGACCTGCCCCACGCCGGGTGCCGTGTTACCACAGCACCGCCCTCCCCGCCCCCACCGCCGCGCAGCGCCCAGCTCCCAACGGCCGCGGTTATGTAAGGGGCACCCCCGCGCGCGCTACCCCCGTGCGCGCCGCCCGCCCTCTCTCTCTCCCCCTTTCCCCCGCCTCACGCCGGGCCCAGTAGAGGAGGGATGGGGGGTTAGGGGGGAGGCCTGCCCGGGCACCTGCCGCCAGGTACACTAAGTGTCCCCCCTTCGAGCGTAAACAGCAGCAGGCCAGCAGAGCAAATACTAGGCCGCGTGATGTTTCCCCCCCCACCGCCCCGCGTCCACCCTCCACCCCTCGAGGCTTCCCGTGCAGAGCCCCTCTTCGGCCGGGACCCGCGGGTTGGCGGCGATCGCGGGTCGAGCGCGCTACCTTCCTCGACGGTCTCCATCTTGCCGGGCTGACGCAGCGCCGGCCGAGCGGGTGGTGTGACCGTGGGGGGCGGAGCCGCGCGGGTACTTGGTGCGGGCACCGTAGAGACCGCACCACTGAGCTGATGGGATAGAGCGCCGCTCTCGCTGCGAGCGCCGCCTGGTGGAGTTGATGGAGGCGGCCGACCCGGGAGGAAGGGGTCCGTGTGAGGCGCTGCACCGGGCCACGCCGGGCTTCGGGGCAGCCCGATGGTGGCTGCTGCGTGGCTGCCCCCCTCCGGCAGCGCCTGGCCCTGCCGCCGCGGGCGGGTCCCCTTGCCAAGGGCGGGCGGGACGGGGCGGTTGGTAACCGTGGAGGCGCCCGCCGCGGCAAGGGGACGCGTTCGTGCCCTGGGCAACGATTGCACCGGGTGGAGTGCGGGGGTCAGGCACACTACTGCTAACACAGGTTCTACATTGCATCTCAAACCAAGGGCAAACACGGCGTGCAACTTGAAGTCGGACAAGCTTTGGGGATGGTGGGTGCTGCAGGGCGCAGGAACTTGTGGCCCTGCGAACAGCCTTCCACCCTTCAGGCTGAATGTGTTACTTGTGAGTGCTCTTCTTCAAACCCTACCTCTCCTTCCTCAGCCTGAGATTTCCAACAGGAAAATAGGACTCTTCAGTAAAACACAACAACCTTTTTAGCTTAATAATTTGTTTTTAGGTCTTGCCAGCCTAAGTAGCTCAGGCAGCATACATTAAAACGTTGTACTCTGCCGGGGGCAGATAACAGAGTTATCAGATCGTCTCTGGTGAGTTGGCAAGAATCTTATTAAGGAAGAAAATGGAAGTTCGTTCATTAAGGATAAAGCGAAATTCTATGCTGATGAAGTGCATGCATGTACGTATTATTTCATTTTCCATTGTGGCACCTATTTTTTACCCTTCTAGTTGATCAACGAGTTGTAGCAACTTTCATCTCTCAATGTCCAAACAGTTATTAAATCCTTTGCATTAAGCCTTTGGCCATTGTGTCAGCAGCAGAGTGAATGGTAGTTCAAGTCTGGACTTGGAGTGCAGAGGTGGCACGTGCCCAAGTTACACTTTTAAAACTCTTTTTCCCTCAACTTTAACCATACCAGTGCTTTCAATAGTATCGTTTTCAAGCTGGTGGGATAAATGATACTGGTCTATGCAAGCAAAAAAAGATCAGGAAATTGTGAAGGCTTGGTGTGGCTCTCCAGTAGCTATATAATTACAGCAAAGTGCTGCAATGAAACATGTGGGCTATGCTATTACATTCAGCTCTTCCGTGTTCTCCCTCTCAGAAAGGCAAGGCGAGAAAACTCCTACTTAAAACTTTAAAAATCAACTTTAATTTAAAATCAAGCTCATTTTCATCTTGACAAATTATCTTGGCATGTTAAGAAGTGCAAGCACAGTGCTGAGGATATGAGAAATTCCAGCATATTCAGTTTGCCTGAATGAGGAAAAATTGATTAAAAAAAAACAAGAAATGGGGCACTTCAATTTCCAGGTGCATTTGTAATTCCTACTCTTTATTTCCCAAACATGAAACCATTGTTGTTAATCTGCTGAGATAAATGTCACAAAATTCACTTTTAAGAAGCCATGGCAGGATTAATGTATATAATACGCCAATTTCAGTCATTCATGGTAGGCTTTTTTAAATTAGATGAAACCTTTTGAAATGAGTCTCTGTAAATTGCCAGTGAATAATTTCATTCCTGCCTGTATCTGTCTATTCAGTCATTTAAATTACATAACAGATATTACATGTAAACCCTCTTCTCAGCATGTAGAGAGAATTAATCCCAAAATTTTGTTCTTAGTGCTTCAGTATGGGCTACACAACAGCTCACCAGTAACCGTGAGCTGATGGCAGGCTAGTATAGTTTAAACAGAAAAGGAAAAAAAATAAGTTAAATGAAATTAAATCTCTCTCAGCCTTCTTGGTGTTTTTGGTGAATGTATTATTGATCCTCATATATTTGGTAATATGTTAGGTGTTCTTCACCTGAGAAATGCACACGGCTTAAGTAGTTCTTAATTTTTGGTACAGAAGAGGATGTTAGGAGACTGCTATTAGCTTCTGACTGTCATCAAGGTCAAGTGCCAACAGCCACTGAACAGAGGTACTGGAACAAAAATCTCTGCTCCAAACAAGTTACCTGGATAGCAGAGGAAATACAGATATTCTACAGGTGAAAACTGAAGACAGTAATAGACATAACCCGAATCACAGAAGGTTATGGCAAAATTAAGGGCATATTTAGAGTGGGTGGGAGGAGTAAGAGACAAGATTATTTCAAACATGGTTTTATTTTGGTAAAATAGTTTGGGTTTGTAATATTTAAATGCTTAGATTTATTTTTTTCAAAAAACTCTCTTAAAAGAACACAAAATATATATTGCAAAATTAAAACTATCCAGCTTTTGTATTATGACATTTCCATCTTTTCTTCCATTTTAAAATGACTTCATTAAGATGCTTCACTTATACTTTTAGAGTTATTTTGAATGTTCAGACCATTAAAAAAGCAAAA